GGGCCGGCCGGGGGCCAGCGGGTGTGCGATGGGCCTGGGGGCTGTGCTTGTCTTGTGCAGGACCGACCAGCTGGGCATGTTCACAAACAAGGAGTTGGAGCAGCTGGGCCCTGTGCTGGACGGCTTCAGCCTCATGACCTACGACTACCCCTCCCCGCAGCAGTGAGTGGCTTCTGGGCCCTGTGAGCCCTGCTGGGTGCCCGCATGCTCCCCACCAGCAGGGCTGACTCGGGAAGGCCAGGCCTGGCTCCCCGCTGGCCAGCTCAGGACCACAGCTGCCAGCTGTTCCAGGGCGCAGAGGGCCCAGCCTGTTCTCCAAAGCCCAGGATTGGCCTGGCAGCCTTTTCGCTTTGGGGGCATGTGACATGGCAACAGACAGCCCCCAGGGGCGTACTCTCCCGGGTGTCCTGCCCCCCATGGTTGGCCCAGGGAAAGCAGATAGAGACAGGAGTGTCCAGCAGAAGGCAACAGGGGAGGCTCGCTGGCTGCTGCCCCTTCCCACTGTGCACGGACCCTCGCCCCAGCTTGGGAGGCCTCTGCCTGACACTGAAGCCCACGCCCCCCTCGCCCGGCAGGCCTGGCCCCAATGCTCCGCTGTCCTGGGTGCGAGCCTGTGTCCAGGTCCTGGACCCCAAGTCCAAGTGGCGGAGCAAGATCCTCCTGGGGCTCAACTTCTACGGCATGGACTACTCGGCCGCCAGGGATTCCCGCGAGCCAGTCATCGGGGCCAGGTGAGCTGGGGCTCCGTCAGCAGGGCAGCCTCTGGTGCGGCCCCTCCCCGAGGCCCTGGCTCCGTGGGTCTGCAGGTTCCCAGAGGCGATGGGTGAGCCGGGGAGAGGCCCTGGCGGGGTCTGCAGATAGAGCCTCTCTCAGCCTTGGAGTTGGGGGCCATGTTGTGCCACCCGATCTGGGACACCCCTAGCGTTTCCTCCTCTGTCAGGCGGGTGGACAGCCTTCGCGATGCGAGTGGTGCGTGTGCTGGCGGGGAGGGGATGGGCCCGCGAATCTCCACTCTAGAGGCCCTTGTCACATGGACCCTCACTTCCTGCTGCCTGGAGGATGGCCTCTCCTTTCTGCTGTGCAGCTCTGCTGGTGTTGGACTCTGTTCAGCTTCATTTGCTTCCTTTTTTGGGAAGATATTTTTGCTGGGCATAGAATTCTAGATTGTCAGCTTTTTTCCTGGGCTGTCACTTTGTCACCTTCCTGCTGTGTATCCAGTGGGCCACATTGTGGCGGTGCTGTCCCTGTGTGTGGCTGCCCCCCCCCGTGGCTGTCGTCGTCCCCCCATGTGGCTGCCCCCCTCCCCGTGCGGCTGTCCTCTCCCACCCCCCATGAGGCTGTCCTCCCCGTGCGGTTTTCCCCGCATGCGGTTCCCCCATGCGGCTGCCGCCTCCCCCCACCCCCTCCCGTGCGGCTGTCTCCCCCATGTGGCTGCCCCCCCATGTGGCTGCCCCCCCCCGTGCGGCTGTCCCCCCCATGCGGTTGTCCCTGCGTGCAGCTCCCCAGCAGCTGCCATGGTGACCAGGCGGGGCCTGCATGGACCTTCCTTCCTGCACGTGCTTTGCCTGGGCTTTTTGGATCTGTGGCTCTTTTTATCAGATTGAGAAAGATTTGGGCAGTTTCTTCCAATATTTGCCTCCCCCTCCCTTCTCTCTGGGCCTCCAGTGCATGTTGTCAGGTCCGTGGCTTGGCCCCGCCCCCTGGCCCAGGGTCCTCCGGGGACCCTTCTTTCCTTCCATCTCTTTGGGGTTTATTTCCGTCTCCACATCCATGGCCGCTGCTGCCTGTCTCATCTGCTCTTGACCCACTCGGCCTTTCCAGTCACCGTTGGCCCAGCGGCTGGTCTGGGTCTTCTCTCGTCTTCCCTGTCGCATGTGAGCTCTGCCCCTGCGTCGGTCGGCTCTGGGTCCTGTCACCCGCCCTCGTCGGGCCTGGGCTCTGGGTGGGGCGCCAGGTGCCCGTTTGTTCCCTGGAAACTACGTGAGCCACTGCTCTTCTCAAGTCCTGGTCCTGTCGGTGGAGAGCGTGTCCAGGGACCGCGGTCTGGGCGCGCTGCTGCAGCCGTGGTCCTTCACAGGGGTCTCTGTGGTCAGAACCCTCGTTCCTGGACAGAACCTCCTCCCTGGAAGGTCCCCCCCGCCCTCCTGCTCTATCCCCCCCACATCCCTGGCCTGCAGGGGTGTTGGCCTTGAGAGACCACCGTCCTAGCTCAGGCCACTGCACAGACACCGCAGACGGCACACACCACTCACTGCCCGTCCTGGAGGCTGGAGCCCGAGGCCTCCCTCCTGGGCGTGGGGACGCCGTCTCCTCCCCGTGTCCCCGCGTGGTCCCTGTGCATGTCTGTGTCCTGACCCCCTCTTCTCATGAGGACCCCAGTGGCCTCACTTAACCTGAGTCACCCCAGTCACAGTCTGAGGTCCTGGGCTCAGACCATCTCCAATCCACCTGGGGGGAGGAGTCATCATTTCCTCACGGGATGTGGGCCCAGCAGTAGCTCGCACAGTGGAGTTGTTGGAGCCCTAACCCAGCTTGTGGGTCAGATGACAAAGGGCTCCACGCAGACCCCAGTGGCCACAGCTCCAACTGTTCTGAGGAGGGGCCAGAAGCTGCAAAAAGGCATTCTGATGTGAAGGTATCTGTGTGTGTGTGCGCGCGCGCGCGCGCACGTGGAGGGGTGTGCACCTGTTCGCACACGCACACCGGCTCCTCCCAGCCAGAGGTGGAAGGCTATACCCCATCCGGTTGGCAGCCCCTGCGACCTCCCCTCCCTGACAGAGAGGCCAGGGGCCCGGCTTCAGGGGGTCTGAGGGAAGCAGGTGGTGGAGAGGGGGCCGGGGCCCAGGGTGTGGCTGGCTGCCTCGCCCGTGCTGCACCCCGGCCTCACCTGCAGGAGCCGATGCTGCCGCCCAGCAGGGCCTCCCCAGGGGCCAAATAACTGCGCAGAGCGCCAGCGCTGACAAGCGGCTGCGGCTCGGGCCTCAAAGGCAAGTGGAGGTCAGCGCCCACTTTGGTCCTGCAGGAGGCGGCTGAGGGGGACGTGGGTGAAGAGGGCAGGCCTGTGACAGGCGGGCAGGTCAGCTGGAGGCTTCAGATCAGGCCAGGGTCACGTCTGCCTCGAGGGAGCGCTGTGGTTTGGGCGGTGCCACAGCGCCTTCCCTGGGGTCCGCGTCTCTGTGACCAGAATGAGGGTCGGCGTGGACTGAGTGCAGGGCTGTGGGGGGGTCAGGAGGGATGTCCCCTCCCTCCAGGGGCACCCGAAAGGCCGTTGTGCCCCCCACAGGACCATCCCAAGCTAAGGGCAGCCTGTGATCAGGTACGTTGGTTGACAGTGATTCGCTGCACAGAGGAAGGGCGCACAGAGTGGGGTGATAGGCATGGCCACCAGCCTGAGTGAGCTGCCCGCCATGTGACATGAGGCCCCCGTGAGCCTCTGGCAGGATGCCAGGCCTTCGTGGAATTCTGGGCAGGGCCGGGCCCTTGTTCGTGCCTCCTGCCCCTGGCCCCACACCACCCGCCTCCCCCTCCCCCTCCCCCTTGGTCCCTCCCTCTCCCGGTGCTGGCGCTCACCCCCCCCCCCCCCCCCGGGCCTCCCCAGGTACATCCAGACCCTGAAAGAGCACAGGCCCCGCATCGAGTGGGACAGCCAGGCCGCGGAGCACTTCTTCGAGTACAAGAGGTGAGTGTCCAGCATGAGCCCTGGCCCTGGTCCCAAGCCCACCACTGCCCTGAGGGCTTTCCAAGTGACCTCAGACCTGGGCTCCAGGGGGCGGGGCCGGGAGAAGCGGGAGGCATTCGGTCCCACTGTCCTTTGCAGAAGCCGAGGAGGCAGGCACATCATCTTCTACCCGACTCTGAAGGTTCGTGGGCCGCCTGGGGGGCGGGGCGGACCTTCCCTCTGGGGACAAGGGGCTCGGACCTGGGCCTGTTTTGGGGTGCATGGGCCACCGGGGCTGCACTGGGGACAAGGCGGCTGACACTTCCCTGTCTGCAGTCCGTGCAGATGCGGCTGGAGCTGGCCAGGGAGCTGGGCGTCGGGCTGTCCATCTGGGAGCTGGGCCAGGGCCTGGACTACTTCTACGACCTGCTCTAGGCCCCGCTCTGGACAGACCTTTCTCAGCAATGGACTCACGGACATGGGAAATACAGACTGTTCTCTGCCTTTCTGGCCATGTCTCTTGCAGTCCTTGGGTGGGCCCCCTCCTCGGCATTGCCATGAGGAGAGACAGCCCTGGCCAGGCACTGTGAGGGCAGTCGCCACCCCAAGGTGCAGGGCTCCGGCTGCTCCATGCAGCCAGTGGTTCCAGTGGGTCTGGAGGCCTCAGAATGACCCAGCTCCCAGACCCGGACTCCTGGCAGGGGTGGCCCCACCACGTCACCCTGGACCTCACACTGCCAACAAGCCACCAAGTCCCCCGCACCAAGGGTGTCAGGCCACTGCCGAAACCTGCTCAGAGACGCCAGGCATGGGCCTCACTGGCAGCAGGACCCCAGAGCCTGCTGGTGCCAGCAGCTCTGGTCACTGGAATGACAGCGCCCTGGCCAGTCCCAGCACCTGCAGGACAACCGCTCTCCCGGGATCGAACACTGGGGGGCCCTCGTACTGAGGCGCTGGAGGATAGCTGTCTCCTCGTTGGGAACTGGGCACGGGGCGGGCGCTGCAGGTTAGAGATAGCTTTGCCGTGTGACTGTTCTCACCTCATTTCTGGGCATCTGCTGGTGTGTAAGAAAGTTCGTGTTAACTGTCCGAGATCGCAGCCTGTGTTAGTTTGGGAGGACGTGGGGGCACGCCAGAAACTGGGGCCGGGCACCCTGCAGTCACTAGGTGGGTTGACCAAGGCAGGACCATGGAGCAGGCAGGAATGGGGGTTATGGGTGGGGCTTGAGAGGGTCAGATGCCCCACAGCTTGAGGCTCCTGAGAGGCCCATCCCCACTGGACCCAGCCCCAGCCCTCACTGCCCATCAGCCCAGGTCGCAGGACGCCACCGAGGCGTTTGGCTGGTGCTGGGCCTGGCAGCTGCTCGCTCCCCGCGGCCCCTTTATTTGCAAAGTTGTACAAAGAAACACTTCAGGGCCATGTTCCCAGGACAGGACAGGAACCCTTAACAGGCAGCAAGGAACTGAACTCACCTTGCTGAGGATACCCGGGCGGGGCGGGGGGGACAGAAATGCTGGGGGATGGAGACACTGGACAGGTCGGGGACTCCTCGCGGTTCCTGGGGCCTCTGCACCACTTCCTGGAGCTAATCTAGTGGAGGTTTGGGGGCTTGTCCTCAGACACACAAGCCCCCATCTGCTGGCTGGGCAGCTCGCCTGAGCCTGTGTGTGTCGTGGAACCCCACGTGGGTAGGGGGGCCCACAGCCACGGGCTTGCCTAGGCGTGGTGCCCCGTGGGGAGTCGGCAGTGACAAACGGGGGGCTGCTGCCCACGCACTTTATTAGATGCACCGGGAGCCTGCCCTGCCCCACAGGAATGTGATGCGGGCTCCGCCCATCCAAGCACCGGGGCGCAGGAGGCCCTCCCCACCCAGCCCTGTGTCGGGTCCGGGAAAGCTGCTCTGGAGAATGTGTGGGTGGACACAGAAGGCGCCAGCTGCCCGTCTGGCACGAGGTCATCTCCCCGGGGGGTGGCATCCTCTGGCAGCGAAGCAGGTGGCAGGCAGGGCAGCCTACGCGCAGTAGGTGTCGGCCTTCACCACCTGGCAGTACATGGTCATAGCGAAAGTCAGGCCCAAGATCTGCGGGGACACGGGGCTGGGCTGAGTGGAGCCAGAGTCATGTCCTGCGTGCGGCCGCCCGGCCCCTCTGAGGATGGCCTCCACCCTTGGCAATTCAGGTCCATCACAACCACCCCCTCAGCCCTGCAGGCATAGTGGGCACCGCGGGCCTCCTGGGACTCAGCCCAGGCCCGCCTCTCCCTGGCATGGCCAGCCTGGGCTCTGCAGGCGGTCTCAGGGCCAGCGCCCACCTACCGGGCCCCAGCACCCTGCCCCTTGCCCATTCATCCAACTGTGATCGTCACTTCCGCATGTTCATCTGCTCTGGCTTCGACCCAGGAATGGTGGCTGCCCTGATGACCGAGGTTACTGACACGGCTTAGCCCCCAGGATGCAGACACTCAGGATTCCATGGGGCTAGGGGTAGGGCCGCAGGGCCCCAGCTGGACCTGCCGTCAGGGCCTGCGCGGCCCACCCTCCCTCTACTCTGGGCAGCCCTGTAAGCACCACCCGCTGGGCAGGGGCTGCAGGAACAGGGCTGGGAGTGCCCAGGGTCCTCACACAAGCGTCCAGGCTGCACCTCCTCCACTTCACTCATGGAGGCTCCCTGTCCACCCGCACGGACCCACCTCCTCCTGGGGACGGGGCTCCACGGGGGCAGGGCATCTGCGGCTTTGTTCCCTGGGGCGCCCTCCGTACCTGCACCAGCGCCGTGCACAGCCCGAAGACGCCCACGGCCAGCAGGTTCTCCTGGAGCCACATCTTCACCGTCTCGTAGCACGGCTGGAGAAAGGGGGGGTGTCACCGGGCGCACTGCTGCGAGGCTGGCCCTCTACCCCCAGGTCCTGGGGCCAAACCAGCAGAAAGACGGGACGGGCGCCGGCTCACCGCCTTCCACCAGGTGCCAGGGGCATGCAGCCCGCAGTTCTCACTGAACTCCAGGCAGCAGGAGTCGGGCACGCGCGTGGCATTGTACACCTCGAACCAGTCCGTGTAGTTGGAGACGCCACAGCAGCGGAACTGCGGGAGGCACCGGGTGGGATCTCGCTGAGGGCCCACGCCACACATCCCGCCCACAGGTCCAGCCACGCCCCACGCGCCACGCCTCCTGCCCCACAGCCGGCCCCCTTACGTCGGTCTGGATGATGCTCCAGGCGTTGGTGAGCCCCACGTTGCCTGGGGTGCCGTACAGGTGCAGGCCTTTCTTCAGATCGCGCTGCGCGTACCTGTCAATCTGCAGGGGCAGTGTGGTCAGCGGGGCCTCCCTGTGCAGACCCGCAACGCCTGTCCTCAGCCCCTCCCTGGAGTCACCTCCCCGCAGAAGTCCCTGCAGCGCACAGGCCTTTGTTCTGCCGTGTCCGGCCCCTGGGTGCTGAGCACTGGATTAGAGTCGGACACAGCAGCCCGAGCTCAGCTGGACGTACAGACAGACTGGTACACGGACTCCGAGCTGGGTGTGCCCGCCGGTCAGCACACACAACCCTGCCATCGGCTTAGGGGCCTTGAGGCTCCAACACCCCCGAGCAAGGAGCCAACCAGGCTCCGTCCCTAAGACCCTCCAGGAAAGGAGGGTGTCTGTGGTGCCAGGAAAAAGGAAGTGGTCCCCAAAGAGCGCGGGGCCAGGCCCAGGCGGCGGGAGCCAGCTGAGCGCCCACGCACAGGAGGGCAGATGAGCAGGAAGTCACAGTCCCGGGCCACCACCCCGGGAACAAACACGTGTGAGTGAGCCCGGACTGACATCAACAGACGACTAAGGGAACAAGTGGGAGATCAACTACCCACAGTGAGCTGGGCGTCAGACGAGGGGCCGCTGAGGCCAGCCACTGGCCGGCACACTAGCCTGCGGCCCCTCGCCGACGGAGCTCCCAGGAGCTGGTGGCCGAGGGGCTGACCTTGTCAGTGTAGGCGAAGAAGAGGACGGTGACGGTGACCTCCAGCAGGAACACCAGCAGCAGCAACACGAAGAACTGCAGGGGGTGGGGGGACACAGGCTCAGCACCCCGGCCCTCCGGCCCAGCCACCCAGGCCCTGGAGCCGGCACTGTCCTGGGCGGCCATGCCCTCCGAGTTATCTGCGGCCATGGTCATGGTCATCCCGCCTCTAAGTCCACCTCCAAGGCCACGGCCAGCCCGGGAGCATCTCAACAAAGCGCCCCAGGACGGGGGAGGGGAGGGGGGCAGGAGCTGGGAGGGGTCCCGAGGGGGCGGTCTCGGGAAACAGGCCTGTCACGCGTGTGTGACGGTGGGCACGTGTCCTGACTCAGGAGGCCCCTGTCTCAGAGCAGCCCGCAGCCCTGGAGGTGGAGCCGTGAGTGGGAGCCTGTGCCCCCGCCCCATGCCCGCACAGGCCCCGCCCCACACCCACACAGGCCCCGCTCCAGGCAATACCCCACCCCCACCCCCGCACAGGCCCCGCCCCGCACTCACGGTGAGCAGGAGGCACTTGTTCTCCTTGATGGCCCCAATGCAGCCCACGAAGCCGATGGCCATGATGAAGGTGCCGGTGACGATGAGCAGGTTGGCGGCCGACAGGGACGGGAAGGAGGAGGACAGGGTGGCGAAGTTCCCCTGCGTGGCGGCCAGCCAGATGCCCACCCCCAGGATGCCGCATCCTCCCAGCTGGGGCAGAGGAGAGAGATGGTGAGGCAGCAGCCAGGGGCGTCCCGGCAAGCCCGCGTGCACCTTGAGGGCACCCTCCCGGTCTTGTCCGGACAGCAGGGCCCCACACCGAGGGCTTGGTCACACTGTGGTTGGTGGGAGGCGCTGGTCTGCAGACACTCGCTTTCATGAACGGGGCGCCTGTTGAGGCAGCCTGGGCAGGGGGCCCCAGAGCACCCCCAACTCACCCTCCAAGAAGCATCCCCCCCGCCGCCCCCAGAACACAGCCTGCACCTCACCCATCCACACCGGGTCCAGCCCAGGGAGCCCCACCTTAGAGGCCCCAGCAGAACCCTACAAGCTCGCTCTTCCTAAAACCCGGCTTCCTCCTGGTGGGTGGCCCAAAGACCAAACACCAGACCCCAGGTGGGCCGCCCAAAGCACCCACAGGTCCCCCAAGGGTGCAGGCAGGCTTGAAGCAGAGCCTGCTCCCCGCCTCGCTGCCTCCCCTCAACCACGACAGCTCTTACCGGATTTCATAATTGCTCATTATGACAAAAATCAATTAAAATCAGAGGAAGAAGGAGGAGAGGTGAGGCTGTGATGAACCGGAGAGGGCTCTCGGCCTCGCCTGGTGGCGGGGCGCCCAGGGCTGGCCGAGGGGGCTAGGGCTCCGGCTCCCTCCCTCAGACAGTGAGGCCTTGGGCTCTGGGTCGGCTCAGGATGAAACGGAGGATGTGTTCCGGGGTGCAGGCAGCCCCACAAATGCTGGCCTGCACTTGGGGACTGACGGCTGATGGCTCTGGGGAAAGCCAGGCAGCCCTGGGGGCCCTGCCCCATTCTAGGACTGGACAGTCGTGGGACCCTGCACCCCCACCAGGGCCCAGGAGCGTCCTGCCAGTCTGGCCTCGGCCCTCCTGGGCTCGGCCGCAGGGCAGCCCCGGGCACAACTACACCTCAGAGTGCTCACCCTGCCCACCCGGGACAGCTGGGCCACCGACTCCAGGGACAGTGTTACTTGCCCAGGCCACCAAGAGCCCGCATCACCCACAAAAGCTTCCCAAGCTCTACAGCCAGACTCGTACCCATTTCCCAGGCAAGTGAACCGAGGCTGGGAGATGAGCACCCACCCACTCCCTAGGCCTGGGCCTCAACCGAGACAAGGACCCCACAGCCCAGGCAGGCCCTGTGGGCTCAGCCCTGCCCCCAGTCAGCCTGGCTGCAGGGCTGGGCGTGGGGGTGGCAGCTGCCGCTGGTCACCATAGGTGTCTCCATCACACTTGGGAGCACATGGTGCATTAAGCCTGCCGGCTGGCAGGAGACCACAATCACCGGGGGGCCGGGGTGAGCTCAGCCCAGGCCTCCTATGGCAGTGACAGCGAACCTGACACGCGTGTCAGAGGTGACACGAGAACTCATTTTTTTGGTCGATTTTTCTTTGTTAAATGGCATTTAAATATATAAAATAAATATCAAAAATATAAATCTTGGTTTTACTATGGTTGCAAATATCAAATGTGACACGGCACCAGAGTTAAGTTAGGGCTTTTCAAAATGCTGACACGCCGAGCTCAAAAGGTTCGCCATCACCGTCCTATGGCATGTGGGGTCCCTCTGGGCAGTGCCCGGCTGCGGTGGGGGCTGCAGAGGTGACAGGAGAACCAACCAGGGGCAGGAAGTGCCAGGGCCCCATGCTTCTAGGTTCCGGGTTGGGGGACCCTGGTGCAGAGGCTGAGCAGGCCTTGGGGGTTCCCAGAAGGGCCACCCTGTGTGACAGCGCCTCCGCTGTGGCTGGGATCAGAGCCTGCGAGGCGTCAGCACGGCGTCCCGCTCAGCGTGTCCCGCTCAGGGGAAACGGGGCTGTGACCCGGCTACAGGGGCCGGGGGGATGGGGGGGCCCTCTCACTGGACACACCACCTGGTGTCTGCCCCCCACACACACTCAGCAGCTGGTTCCTCATACTCCGCACACACACACCCTCCCCTGGACCATCCTCACCTCAGAGCCAGGCGTGGGCACAGCCCAGGGGGCAGGGTGTGCTGACTGTAGGGAGGTGTGTGTGCCCCCACATGTAGGTGGGCTAGAGGCAGGCCCCCCCAGCCACGGGGGGGGGGGGGGGGGCGCGCAGGGGGAGGGGGGCTGTCCATGGTGTTGACTGCAGGCAAGGCCTCGGAGAGGGAGCAAGACTGGGCACCAGTGCCCCTGGGCACCCTGAGCCTGTCTTCAGGAGACGCCACTCGAGGCCTCATGGGGCACAAGGGAGGCAGGGGTGCGCACTGACTCATTTCCTTCTCCCACCTGCCTGCCTGGCCGTGCCCCAGCTTGTCCCCATGCCCGTCGGGACACCAAGCACCCGTCCCCATGGCCTCTGGGTCTCGTGGGATCTCCAAGGACCCCGGTGGGGGAGGGGAGGCTGTGGCTGGGCCGCCCCCTGGGGCACTATGTGCAGGAATAAGGCCACGCAGACCCACACTGGGGCAAGGAGGGACCTGGGCAGGGGGGGGCCGCCACTCTGGGGAGGAAATTGTCAGCCAGGCCACTGGACGGAGGACAGTGACCCGCTGGACTCGCTGGCCCCTGGCCCCTCACCAGTTCACAGCTCTGGCATCAGAGGGTCACAATTCGGGACTGGGCCTCAGGCGGAGCCACGGTGGGTGAGGCGACCTCTTGGGGCAGGTCCCTGACAGAGGGGAGGTGCTGAGCTGCTATTTAAAAGCCAAACTGCTGCTCTCTGCCTTCAAGGGTGGTGGCTGGCTCCTGTCGGCAGGAAGAACGGGACCACACTGCTTGGTGGGGAAGCTGCCGGGGACAAGGAGAGGGACAGCAGGAAGGGGCCGTCCAGGGGCCGGGGGCCCAAGGGGGGGGCCACTGCCAGCCCTGGTGGGCGTTTCCTTAAGTAACACCCCACACAACGTCCTGGCCTCCAGCCTGAGACGGAGGAGAGACCCAGACACAAGCCATCCACACCTGGGACACAGACACACGGCCCACGTGGTCACAGACGCCTCTCGCCAATACTGTGTCACCTGCGACGATGCACACACCCTCACACTCAGACATGCCGCCCTGTGCCCCGGGGCCCCCACAGGCGCCCAGGCCCCTCCACATTCAAGCACATTTTCACAGAACAGCCACCCAAAACGCTCCCAGACACGCGCACTAACACTGCATGCCTGTGCTTAATAAAATTACCTGTAATTTTAAAATGTTTCTGCGTTTGCAGCTTTTAAAACATTTTGGCAGGAAAATTACAGCCTCCAAGTGCAGGAGAAAAATGGGCCCCATTACATCCAGACACAGAACATCACCGGCAGGAGGATAAACCGGGCTGGCTCCCCGAGGAGAGCGCCCCCGGCCCTCCCAGGGCAGGCTGGCCAGACGGCGAAGCTGGGGACCCAGGACGCCACCCCAAGCTTACCAGTGTCCACCCTGCACCTCCCCAGCTGCTCGCTGACTGCCTGGGGCACGGCCGGACCCACTCCCCAGCCAGACAGAAACCCAGCTGGGCCAGAAGCAGACCTTGACCCACCACAGCCTGGGAGGGGAGGGTCCACCGTCAGGGTCCCCACCCAGCCTTGCCCCCCTGAGCCGTCCCTGCCTCTCACGCCCCGAGCACACGCCCTGCCCTCACCTGTCCCTGGCTACCACCCTCCTTCCTGCTGTGGCTTTCTTGGTCTGCATCTTTTCCAGGTGGCCTCGGGCACGGTTGGTAATGCCATCACCTCCAGGCCCATGGCAGAGTGGGTGACAGCAGGCCCTCTGCTGACGGCCCTATGGCCACACGGCTCAGGGTGGCAGATGGCCGGGCAGCAGGCCATGTCCTTGGAATGGGGTGGAGGGCTGGGTGCCCACAGGGGCCAAGCCTGTGCCCAGAAGCCCCTCACCTGGCAGCCGGCACAGCCTCGGTATGGGGGCTGGGCACGGTGGAGGGCACCATCTACATGCAGTTCAAGAATGGCAGCCGCTGCCCAGCGGCCGCAAATCGGGTCTGCAGCTGCCCGCGGTGGGTCAGGGGTTCCCCACCTCGGCCGTTACCGGGTGGCGGAGGCTGCCGGCCCTGAGCTGCTGGGGAAGCTCCTGTGGGATTTGCAGGCTACGGCCCCGCCTGGGGACCCCTGCTCTCTGCGCAAGGCCCGCGGGAGAGACCTCTTCTCCATGCAGGCAGGTGTCCTGGCGGCTGAGGAGGGCAGATGAGGGGAGAAGCAGGGACCTGGCCATGCCCCACACCCACTGCCCCCCCCCCCCCCCCGTCAATCCACAACCCACATGCCCACCCTGGCGACACCTATGGCTGCCAGCTCTGGTCCCCATCTCAGCCATCAGTGCTACCCAGGCCGGTGCCCCCTGCAGCTGTCAGCGTCCCCACCTCTTCCCACGCCTGCTCAGAGCTCCAGCTGCACCACCTCTCTGCGGGCTCCGGGCCTGGCTCCCCTCTTCCAGGGGCCCCTGGCAGAGAACAAACTCTTAGGGTGACCCTCCGAAAAGCAGGCATCTTGGGTAAGAGCCGCCTTGGGTCACACCCCACATTTGACCCCAGGCTAGCTGCCCTCCCAGTGACCCCTAATGCCCCCCAAAGTGGGAGGGAGAAAAGCCAGTGCCCAGGGTGGAAGGGAGGTGCAGAAAGGTAGACCTGGGTTTCTAGGCATCTGTCCTCATCTGGACCACATGCAAATGAGCATGCAAATGAGCATGCAAATGCAGCCTTCTTCTGGTCCACAGCCCAGGCGAGCAAGAGCCACACCCCTCACTCCCAGGTGTGGAAGGAGGGTTGCCCAGGAATGAATGAAGGAACCAGAGTGACCTTGACATCCTCTCTCCAGCAGCCTCCCCCTGCCCGGCCTGTGCCGTCCGAGGCCTGGCCAGGCTGGCTCCGACCTGGGCAGGTGTGACACCTGCCTCCCCACAGCCCCCACCTTCCCTGCGGTGTGGGTCTGGGAGGCAGCTCTGTCCCCATCCTGGGGGAAGGGCCGCCTGACTCGACACAGGCACCTCCCGTCTCAGCAAAGTTATGGAAGCCGCCCCAGCCTGTTGGAGGAAAAGGCAGCAGGCGAGGCGCCCCGCAGACACTCACGGTGGCCCGCCGTGCCCACGGCCCGCTCAGTGTCCCCCGGCCAGAGCACCCACAGTGCACACCCCCTCTCCCTTCCCACGGCTCCTCCAGAGACTGGGGTACTTCACCCCTACAGCCCCTCATAAGCCGGGGTCCCTGGGACCTGGTAGGTGGGTCCACTCGATGGGGGGGGGGTGATAAAGAGCTCAGGCTGCGGGGATGGAGGGAAGCAGAGTGGAGCACCAGCCCAGCACACAGACCAGGACGGACCCCTGGCAGGTGCCGCTCAGTGCCCCGGGCAGCCCGACCGGGCACGCACGTGCGGGACACATCCACCTCGGGAGGAGGACACGGCGCTGCTGCCCAGGGTAGAGGCCGCCTGGCCTCCCCTTCCCCCACGCGCACCCGCCCCATTGGCCGGTCCAGCCCTGGCCCCCAGCCAGAGCAGCGACCCGCACGTCCCGCCCCGTTCCGGCCGGAGCCGCGGCTCTCGGTTCTCCCTGGGTCCCTCCAAGAGCGAAGGCGACCCCGGCCCCCGGTCCCCGGCCCCCCCGGTCGCGGCCACTCACCCAGAAGAGCAGGTTGAAGGCGAACATGAGGTACTTGACGCCCTGGAGGCAGCCGCGCGCCATGCCGCAGCGCTGGAGCTCTAGGAGGAAGATGAAGGACAGGTCCAGGTAGAAGACCACGTACTTGGTGCCCTTGGGCGCCGTGCAGCGCGCCTGGGCCGCCGAGGGGCCGGGGCTGCCGTGCAGCCCGAAGGGGCCGCCGCCGTCCCCGCCGTCCGCGCGCCCGTAGAGGCTGCTGTAGCGCCGGAAGGGGCCGCCGCGCGCGAAGCCCGGCTCCTTGCCCTCCGGCGACGGGCTGCGCCGGTACGTGGACTCGTCGGTGCTGGAGCGGCGCATCGCGCCGGGGCCGCCGGCAGGCTCAGCGCCCCGCGCCCCCCGCCGCCGCCCCGCGCCGCATCCCGCCGGCCGCCCGCCCGCTCCTGCCCGCGCGCCCCCGGCCCCGCTCCCCTGCACCCCTCCCGGCCCCCCGCGGTAGCAGCCGCGAGAGCGCCCCGCGCAGACCCGGCGGGTCCGGACACCTGCCCGGCCCGCCAGCCGCAGCCCCGCGCCCCAGCCCCGAAGCCCCGCCCCGCGCCCCCCCGCCGCCAATCTGCGCCCCGCGCCCCAGCCCCGAAGCCCCGCCCCGCGCCCCCCGCCGCCAATCTGCGCCCCGCGCCCCAGCCCCGCAGCCCCGCCCCGCACCCCCCGCCAATCTGCGCCCCGCGCCCCAGCCCCGGCGCCCCAGCCCCGGCGCCCCGCGCCCCAGCCCCGGCGCCCCAGCCCCGAAGCCCCGCCCCGCCCCCCCCCGCCAATCTCCGCCCCGCGCCGACCCTCCCCTCCCGGCGCTGCCGCCGGGCAAATCCGACCGCTCGGCCCCGCGCCGGCCAATCCCGGCCTCGGGCGACGCCCCCGCCCCGCCCCGCGCCCCTCACGCTCCCGGCCTGGCTCCCCAGGGAGGAGGTGCTGGCGGAGGGCTGGACAGAGCGGGGGGCTCGTCCCCGCAGCGCTCAGCCCCAGGAAGGGCGCCCGGCCTTTCGCGGAGCAGCTCTATGCAAACCCAAGTGGCCCCCTGCTGTCCGGTGGGCCTGGGGCGGCTCCCGACCAGAGCGAGGTAACACGTAGCGCCTGGGAGTGTAGCCCAACACGTCTTGGGGTTCCCACTCTCGAGCAGCCTCCTTTACCCACCCCCCGTCAACGCCCCCACCCCCCCCCCCCCCGGGCTGGGCGAGGGCCGCGCTGGGACCCCAAAGCTCCTGCAGCTCACAGCTTGAGTGGGGAGGGCTGGGGAGGCAGGGGCTGGCCTGGGGGACCCAACCTGGGGGCCCCAACGCGGGGGACAGTGCTTGGGGAGGCTGGGGGGAGGCAGAGCTTTGATTTAAAAGCCAACCCCTGAGGAGTCAGGTGAGAGAGGGCAGGCGGGGAGGGTGTCCTGGGTGCGGGGAGGGCAGGGGCTCTGCAAGGCAGGTCTGGGAAGTTTCAGACTGAAAGAGAGGGCCTGGGCCCTGGCTGTGTGCTCAATGGTTAGAGCGTCAGCCCATGGTCACCGTTCAATTCCCAGTCGGGGCATGTACCTCGGTTGCAGGTTCAATCCCCCGCCGGGTTGGGGCACATGTGGGAGGCAACCGATGTGTCCCACATCGATGTTTCTCTCTCTCTCCACCGCCCCCCCTTTCTCTAAAAATCAGTGGAAAACTATCCTCCAGTGAGGATTAACAAATAAAGTGAAAAATAAATACAAAGCGCCCGGCCCACCTGGCTGTGGTTGAGCATCGACCTGTGAACCAGAAGATACCGATTCCATTCCCGGCCAAGGGCACAGGCCCAGGCTGTGGACTCCATCCCCAGTGTGGGGGCAGGAGACAGCCGGTCCATGATTCTCTCTCATCACTGATGTTTCCATCTCTCTCTCCCCCTCCTTTCCTCTCTGAGATCAATAAAAAGAAAGAGAGAGAGAGGGGCCTGAGCGCCGGGGCTCCGGGTGATGACTGGGGACCCAAAGGCAGGCCCATGGATGTGGGGCAGCCCCGTCCAGGCCCAGAGACCAGAGACCAGCCCCGCACCAGCACCCTGCTCCTCCCCAGCCAGGGTGGCTGGCAGCCCCTCCCAGGCCACACGGAGCCCTCACTGGTTTGAAGCTCCACTACCTCCTCTGTGAAACTCGTGGTAATTTTTGAACCAAGGGCCCCAACTCTCCTTTGCGCCAGCCCAGGCTGGAAGTCCGAGCCCGGGACTGTCCCCGCACACTCGGACTGGACCCGAGCCAGGGTCCCAGGCACCCAGTGACCCGCACCCCCAGAACATGCACCTACGCCCCTTGTACTGAAGATGCTGGGCCAGAGGTGGGTGGGGACGGGGGCCCGGCTCCCAAGGCAGGGCTCCCACGGGCTCCCCTCCACGGCTTCATCACGCTGGGGCTCCGGCGGGGAGAGGGCGGTGGGGGGTCGGCTTGGGTCTCCACATTGGGCCCAGCACCCCGATGCCCTCAGTTCCATCTCCCTCAGCCAGTGCTGTCCCAGCGTCCCCCAAAAGTCCCGCCACCCCCACTCCCACCTACCAAACCCTGTGCCCATCACCCCAGGTGAGCAGGTGAGTCTGAGATGAACTGTAAGACCCAGCCCAGCACCCGGGTCCGTTGGGGTGTGAACACAGGTGGGGGGCTTCCCGGGTGATCCTGTCCCCAAAGCCCAGCCCCTCCCCCACTGCAGCCCCTTCCTGCCGCTGGGGGGGCTCCAGCAGAGCATACTGGGGAGGCAGCCTGGCTGGCACGGCCCCAGGCCCAGGCCCAGGCGAAGCCAGGCGGCAGCCAGACCTGTCCCCACTGCCGGCAGGCGGCGACGTACCTGGGCTTGCCACGGGAAGTCAGGCGGGCGGTGTGCGGCCCCTGGGGCCGGGCGGGGCGGCGCGGTCAGCAGGCCCAAGGCAGGCGGGCGGGAGCTCTGCGGGAAGACGGGCAGGATGAGGCCACACCCCGTGCGAGTCACTGGGTGTCAGGGCCCACTCCCCCGCTGGGTTGGGGCACATGTGGGAGGCAACCAGTCGATGTGTCCCACATCCATGTTTCTCTCTCTCTACACCCCCCCCCCGCCCCCGCTTTCACTCTCGCTAAAAATCAGTGGAAAACCATCCTCCAGTGAGGATTAACAAATAAAGTGAAAATAAATACAAAGCACCCGGCCCACCTGGCTATGGTTGAGCATCGACCTGTGAACCAGAAGATACCGATTCCATTCCCGGCCAAGGGCACAGGCCCAGGTTTCTGGCTCCATCCCCAGAGACCAGGCAGCCCCCAGGAATGTGGGGCAGCCCTCCCCTGGGGATTAGGTCCCTCTGGGGGGGGGCAGCAAGGAGCAGCTGGGGGACGGGGCATGGGGGCAACACTGACCAGCGGCCCCAAACAGGGGAGCTGCATCCCCAACCTCTGGTCACTGGGCCTCTGAACGCCCAGGCAGGGAGGCAGGTTTGCACACGAAGCGACAGGCAGTGCGCGTGCAGGGACACACTGGCAGAGCACACGTGTGCTCAGATGCCTGGACTCACACAGACTTGGCTGCTAGCCAGCCATGCGTCACCGCCGAGGTCCTAGAGCCCTGAGACCAGGCTGTGTCCCCCTCCCCCCAGAGCCATGGCGATGACTGCCCAGGCCCTGCCTCTGCCCTCAGCACTTCCAGGGGCCTGTCCTCCCCACCAGCCAGGAGTGCAGGGAGAGGGCATCCCAGCCACGCCTCCACCCTCCCCTCGGACCAGGGGCCGGTCAGCCGGGGGCTGGGGCAGGCGGCTTCCCAGCAGCCCGAGGGCACAGGGATGGGAAGGCTGAAAAGCCCCCTGGCAGGTGCCCACTGGTCCGGTCACATCTGGGTGGACAGACCTCTGCAAGGGTCAGCCCCGACTCCTTCCTGTGAGCAACCTGAGGCCCACCCCCAACCGCAGGGGGAGGAGCAGCACCCACCAGAGGGGAGAGGACCCTGGACACCCATCCGTGCCGCCCTGCCCCTCAACGCTGTGCCTGGGGCTGACCTGCCTGCGGAGGGGTTGCAGGCCCAGGAAAGCATCAAGGCAACGGGCCCCACCCTCCCCACTGTCTTTGACCAAAGCCCACAGCAACATCCAGAAGCTGACACCACGTGCCACACCTCCCACCAGCACAGGCCCCAGCTGTGCCTGCGTGTCCCCCGCCCCAGACCTGGGCAGGCCCTAAAGGGCGGCCCCTCCGGCACCCTCATGGCCCCACCACCCTCCTAGGCCCACATCTCGGGACGGAGGCCAACACCAGGATGGAGAACCCCCAGCCCCAACCCTGGGCAGCCCCTGAACCCCCTGTGAGTGACCCCCACCCTCCCAGCCCAGACACAACCCTGCCATCAGGCGTGGGTGCCGCTCCCTCCCTCCCCCAGGCCCCGCCTCCTCCTCCAGGAAGCCGCCCTGACCCACTCCCAACTCCGGGCCTCCTTGGAGTGCAGGGCCCACAGGTCTGTGTCCCCAGAGCAGCACACACAGCAGGCAACAGGCACAGGCTGAGTGAGGCCCTGCCAGCTTGGGCTGGGCCCCACCGTGGGGGGTAGGTAGGGCCCAGGCAGCGTGAGCTACTCAGAGGCCATGGGCACCTACCTGGCTAGACCAAGGCTCACTCACAAAGGGCCTGTCCAGGAAACAGCGCGCCCACCTCGGACATGGAGGCCTGGGGCGGAGGGACAGTCAGGCGATTGACTGCGCGGCCCCCTGAGCCCAGCAGTGGCGGGGTGGCCGGGCACAGCCCAGCCAGGGCAGCTCAGCTCGGGGCGGAGGGCAGCGGCAGCTCTGAGGCGGCTTTGAGGAGCTGGGAGGCCCGGCCAACACAAACAGGCCTGCGGTGTCCCCTTCCTGCTGCTGCTGCAGCCCGAGGGCCCAGCGCCCACCCAGCCCCCACTGGGGGAGGGGCCCGCAGACACCAGGCTGGCACCCCCTGTGCACACAGGCCCCAGGCCCCCGGGCTCAGGGGCTGGGAGACACCTGCTCCAAGGGGGGGTCCCGCTGGAAGGGGCCACCAAGGGCCTCTGTTCTCCTCCAGGGCCCACCAGGCCAAGCCGAGCTCAGGGCCTGCCCACGGCTCCCCTCCCCCTCAGGTATTCCTCAGCTGGAGGCCACCTGGCCCACGAGGTGGAGGGGGACCCAATGAGGACCCTGGAGGGCGGGGTGCCCGCCCATCGACCAAGGCCCTGGGAGCACCCGGCGTCAGGTGCCCAGTGTATGCCCACCCCACCCCAGTGAAGGCCTGTGCCACCGGGACCCACATCAGGCCCAGGCAGCCGGGCTGGGCTGGCAGTGCCGTTCTCAAATGCCATGAGCCCGGGGTGCCCAGTAGGTCATTAGGTTAGGGCCACGCCCGGCCCAAGCACACCTGCAGCACCGCCTGCCCCTCAGGACACCCAGCACCAGGGCCCGGGGTTAATGCGGGGCGTAGGGGGCGACCGGCTGACTCACACCTGCAGCACCGCCTGCCACTCAGGACACCCCAGCCCCAGGGCCCGGGGCTCATGCGGGGGCCGCAGGGGGGCGACCGGCTGACTCTGGGGAGGAGTCCAAGCCGGAATGTTCATGGCCCCGCCCGCGCATCCGGGGTGAGCACACACGACCCACAGCTCGGAGCCACTGGCCCAGCCTGGGCCACGTCTGCACAGCTGGGCTCAGGACCCTCCAGCCCCACAGCTGCTGGTTCCCCAAGGGGAAACTGAGGCTGTGGCCCAGGGCCAGTGGGTGGGGCCTGTTACCAGGACAACGCTCAAGGCCAAGTCTCAGCAGCTACAACTTCAATCTTGGATTTCCCCTTCTCCCCTGCCTGCCCTCAAGTGACCCTCTGCCAGGAAGCAGAGCGAGCTCATGAGTTCCAAACCACATGTGAGCACAGCCCCCCCTCACGCCCCCCACTCCTGGGACAGGACACCCGTTCTTGGAACCTGCACCTCACCCTCTGGCCCTCCCCAGAAGCCCGGGCCATGCCTGCGCTGACACTCCACGGAGGGGTCAGCAAGGGCCGCAGTACCCGGCAGGCGTACTCCGGCAGGCGGGCAGAGTCCCCCCGATGCCCACCAGTGCCCGGGCCCCCATGGCTCTCTCCTCAGCTTGCTCCCCCAGTACACGCTCACCCGCAAACACACACACACAGCCACTCAGGGCCCGGGGGGGCGGGGCGGGCAGAGCTGACCTCTGAGGCTCCCCGGGCTCCTGTGGTCCAGCCTGGGCAGAGTTGAGCTGGGGGGACTCAGAACCCCAAGTGCCCCAAGGGGCCTCTGCGCACCCGTGCTGGGGCCCTGCGCACGGGCTGGGACGGGCAGCCACTCTGCTCCCCATGGCCTCTGCTGGGAAATCGGGGCGCTGCAGGGCGGAAGCTTGGGAAGAGGATGCTGCCACCGCCCCCAAATCTACATCCGGCGCTCAGAATCCCAGGAATGTCCACTTGGCTCCCATGCGGATCAGGGCGGGAACTCCTCCCCTCACTCCCCGTAAACAAAGGCTCCCTCCGGGGAGCACTGGTGGGCAGGCCTGGCCCCTCCTCCAGGAGGCCTTCTGCCCCCACCCCGGCCCGAAGGTCCACCCGCGGACACCCCCTGCCCCCTGGGCTCGCTCTCACCTCCACCACCTCCGCAGCCTCTGTGGCCGAGCCTGGGTCTGACCCCCAGGCCACGGTGACTCAAGGCCCCGAGCCTGCCCATCTGGCCAGGGACAGGATGTGCGTCCAGTCAGCGGGAGGGGGGTTGAGGGGTGTCAGGGAAGGGAAGTTGCTTTGGCTCGTGGCTCTGCACGTGGCAGGGTGGGGGATGGCAAATGCCATTGGGGACGCGGTCCAGGGTCCAGGGCAAAGGTGGAGGCGCACACTCCAGGCGGCCAGCAGCTCTGGCCAGCTCTACCCAGGACCCAGAGGACCCTCCATCTCCCTGCCCCCCAACAGGTCTGAGAGGACAATTAGCTGATGCCTGGGACCCAACAGAGATGCAGATGTCTGTGCCAGGCCAGCGAGCCTGCCTGGAGCCTACACACACCCTAAGTCACACTTGGCGACACAACCAGCCCCGCAGCCCAATGCTCACCTCCTGCACAAAGCCTACCCCCGGCCCCGGCCCCGGATCTCGGGGCTCACCCCACCCCATTTCCAGACACACAGCCTCTCCTTCCTGCAAACCCTCCGTGGCTCCTGCCCCATCACCTCCGGCTCCACCACCTACCCTGGCCCTGGCCCTGGCCCAAGCCTGTCTCCTGGAGCTGCCCTGCACGTAACCTCCAGGCCTCTGCCCAGGGGCGCCCTGTGCCAGCCTCTGTCCGCGTTCACACACTGCGGCTCGCCCCTGGCGAAACCCGGGTTCTTCAAGGTTCAACTCAAAGGGCGCCTCTTCCGCGACGCCCCCCCCCCCCCGACCATCCTCTCCGCCCCGCTCCCGTCCTCACACGCGAGGTCCGACGCCCTCAGACCGCGGGACCCAGCACAGCCTGTCCCGGGGCGGGTGCAGACCCATCCCGGCCCCTCTCCCGCAGCCCCTTCCCGGGAAGAAGGGAGGAGGGGCGCGGGCCAAGCGATGGACCGGCGCAGGCGGGGAGGAGCCGCGACCGAGCGCGCACGGACCGATCGCCCCCCCGCGCCCCCCTCCCCCGTCGGCTCCTGGTAACTACCTGGCCGGGGCCGGTATCGTGCGGACGAGCGGCCCGGGCGGCACCCCGAGAAGACCCCAGAACTCAGCCACAGAGACCCCCAGGCATCGGGCAGGGGCTCCGGGCAGGGGACCCCTTTCGGGGCCGGGCCAGGAGGGGCGGCGGGAAGACCCGCCCGTGGCCGCGCCCAGACCCTCCGCCCCCGCCGCGGGGTCTCCCCGCCACTTGTTGCTGCGGCTCGGCTCGGGGCTAAGCGCTCGGGCTCGGAGGCCACGCCGGTTCTCTCGGGCCCGGGCCTGGGTCTGGTCCCGGCTGCGGCGCCGCGGGCGGCGGGACTCCGGCCGCATCCCCACGGGCGGACGCTGTACCTGCGCGCGCCGTCCGCCCGCCGCGCCGCTCTCAGTCGTGCGAACACGAGAAACGCGAACCGCGCCGCCGAGCCCTTGCGGCCGCGCTCGGACGCCGTAGGCCGGGACGTACCAAAGCTACAGGCGGGGGGCGCCCTCCGCTCCTGCCGTGGCCGCGGGCCCTGGGACCACCGCGCGCGCGTAAAAGAAACTCGTCGCACCCTTAGTGAAATGGTCTCTGGCCAGACGTGGGAAGTGACGGCCCACGGCGCCGGGGGCCCGCAGGGCAGGAGGGAGCGGGGCCTGTCACCCCCGCGCGTGGATGCGCCCGGGGGGGCGGGGACTGAGACCCTAAAGCCGCCGGCAGCCGGAGCGCCGCCGCTACACCGCTGTCGCCATGATCATCCCCGTGCGCTGCTTCACGTGCGGCAAGATCGTCGGCAACAAGTGGGAGGCCTACCTGGGGCTGCTGCAGGCCGAGTACACCGAGGGGTGAGACGCCGGGCTGGGCGGGCGAGGGCCTCCTGGGCGGTGGGGAAGTGTCTCCTGCGGGCCGGGGCCGGGGGCCGACGTGGGGCCGGAGTAGGAGTTGGGGCCGGGCCGGGGGGCCTGGGGCGGACGTGGCGCCGGGAGCAGGGATTGGGGCCGGGCCGGGGGGCCTGGGGCGGACGTGGCGCCGGGAGCAGGGATTGGGGCCGGGCCGGGGGGCCTGGGGCGGACGTGGCGCCGGGAGCAGGGATTGGGGCTGGGGCTGGGGCCGAGGAGGTGGGGCAGTGGCCCAGGGCTGCCGGGCAGGCGGCGCACACCGACCCCAGGTGACCTGCGTGGGCTGTCAGCCCCAGAGCCCAGCCCCGCTCTCGGGAGAGCGTCATCCCCCCTCCCCTGCAGTTTGGGGGACGGAGGGAGTCGGGCATCAAGCCATTGGCGGTGGGGGCTTCTAGGTGCCCTCTGACCAGTCAGGGCGCGCCTCGTCCCTGTCCACCTGCTCCCTGACCTCTCCGCTGTGGGCCCCCAGGCCCCGCAAGCCCCCTTGTCTTCTGGGAGTAGGACAGCTTCCTGAGACGGAGCTGCCGTCGCGAGGCCCCGCAGCACAGTTACCCGTGCCCGCCCGCCCGGCCCTGTTCCCCATTCGCCTCGCCTTTGGCCCCTGTGCGGACGGCCAGGTCCTGGTCACATCTGGGGGCCTGGGGTGTGCCAGCCCGCGCAGGCTCTCAGTGCGGTGTGAGGAGAACAGGGGAGCCATGGATGGGCAGGTGTTTGCACTAGACCCCGAGGAGGCTGCTGGGGTGCCCAGGACCCCTCCCTGCCAGCCGAGCACCAGCAAGGACCTCCAGCCTGGGCTCCCCTTTCCCATCCCCGCGCATTGGGGCCAACCGTGTGAGAGTTTTCTGGAGGCCTCCAGGGTGAATGGTCTGGGTCCCAGGGACACTGGGGGCTCTTATTGGCTTGGGACATGGCCGAGGTGGCTCTCTAGAGACCTTCCTCTCCTGCCCGCAGGGACGCCCTGGACGCGCTGGGCCTGAAGCGCTACTGCTGCCGCCGCATGCTGCTGGCCCACGTGGACCTCATCGAGAAGCTGCTCAACTACGCGCCCCTGGAGAAGTGACCGCGCCGCCCGCGGCGGGGACCCCGGCATGTCTGGCCTGAGACCCTTTCGCTGAGGCGTGGACAGCCGGAAGCAGTGATGCCCGCAGCCGTGTGGATGTTTGTCTCCTGCTCTGGAAGGAACCACCCAATAAAGGTCTTTGCAGAACCACGTGGAGGTCCTCACTGTGTCTGGCTTTGTGGGACCCACCGCCACCCACGTACCTGTGTTCTGCCTCGTGCCGAGGCCTCGTGGGGGTGAATGTGGGCCCTCACTGCCTGGGAGGGGGGAGAGCCATCCCCATGGCAGCCACTCAGCCTGGGGTGTCTCCCTCAGGAAGGGGGTGCTCAGCCCCACAAAGGCACGGGCAGCAAGAGCGCGGGCACTGGCACCCCACCCCCATGTTCTGGGTGCTCGTCAGGTTGAGAGCAGAGCTCCCTACATCCTCTCTCCCAGGATTTAAAGGATCAGGAATAGAGTGCCTGCTGCGGTCACATCTTGAGGTCCTGCTGCCAAAAGCTTCCAGGCTGCACCCAAGCTCAGTAGCCCCCCCTCCCCGCCCCCTGCCCAAGTTTCTGCAGAGGGGAGGGCAGCACCTGGCTGCCTCAACCAGGCCTGAGACTCCCCCCCACCCCAGCAGGTCACAGGTGGCCCTGATGAGGCTCTGCTGGCTGCCCGGGCTGCCCGAGCCCTGGGCATTAGCCTGGAATCCTGTGGGCCAGCCAGAAGAGCTGTGCCCCGGGGAGGGTCAGGTGGGCCCTGATGCCCTCTGGCCAGCAGAACGCAGAAGCCAACTTCAGAGCCAGGGAGGCAGCCTTCTCCAGCCCCGTTGCCCAGGCATCTGAGAAGGTCTGCCCAGGGGTGGACAGCCCAAGTCTTGGGGACGGCCACTGGGCAGAGAGGTACACATCCTGCCAGACCCCAGGCCTCACAGCTCTCCAGCCCGGGTCACAGCTGCACCACCATCTTCCCAGATGTGTGAGGTTCTACTGGTCCTGTGCTCAGCTGTCCCTGCCATTGGTCCCCTCGAGTCCTATCAGACTCGGCTCGCACCGGCTGCCCCGGGCCCCGGATCTGCCCTCCTGTGGCCGTGGGTGGTGGCTCCGTCCTCCCTGCTGGACGTGAGGGCTCAGGTCCAGAACCATCAGTACCGTAAGCACCTGTGTATCCACACGTTTATTGAGCACCTGCTGTGTGCAGGGCAGGTCTAGTCATACAGCAGTGAGTACATACCCCCAGCCCCTGCCCCGGGGGAGGGAGACAACAGTGAACATTGCGGCCTTTCTGGTGATGGGGAAAGCAGCAGGAAGACAGCGGGGGGCTCAGCAGAGGGGTGGCTGGGGACCAGGGGTCAGCAGAAGCACAGGACCTGGGGGTGGCACTGCGACCTGGTGGCAAGCACACGGAGCTCCTCACCTGCCGCCGATCCACACCCCCCTGCACCTACCCCCAGCGTCACCCCTCCCAGGCCTGCCCCCACCACTATGTGGGGTGTGTCCAAGGGTCTGGGAGCACCATAGGGTGGGCCAACCCAGCCCCTCCAACTAAGCACAGGCACCAGGGAGTCCCCTGAGGGGCCATAACCTCCCCTCCAAGGGAAGTGGCCTGTGCGGGGGAGACTTTATGACAGAACCCAGGCCCCCACATAAGCAGAAATGCTGGGTCCCTCCAACTGCAGGAGGGGTCCCTGCCTCAGGATTGGCATGCAGCAAAAGGCACTTGAAGCTCGCTCTGGGGATGGGGGTCCCCAGAGGTCACGGTGGTGGCACGTTGGTGGGGGCAAGGGCATGAGAACACAACCTCCCTGGCAAAGGGGCAGAGGGGAGGGAGAGGCACCCAGGAACCCCAGCTCCCTGGCCGTCAGTAGTATTCTAGAAGTATCCGCTCAGTAGTCACTCCAGGGGAGCTGTGCGCACGTGCCCAGCGGGCGGCCGTGGGCGGGGTTAGTAGTGCTCCAGCTTCAGGCTCTTGTACAGGCAGCAGGTGAAGATCATGCCGAACACCTGTGGTGTGGAGCCGGCATGAGTGGAGCCGGCATGAGTGGGCCCCGGCCACCCGCCACCCAGTGTCCCCGCACCCGCGAGGGCCCTCCCTGCCCAGGCCCGCACCTGCACACAGGCGATGCCAAGGCCCACGGCCCCGATGATCCTCAGATGCTCCTGGATGAAGGTCTCCAGCTTGGTGATGCAGCCGCCCTGAGGGGGCAGGAGGGGGGAGGCACTGAAGATGGGCAGGTTCCCCACACCCAGCATCCCTCACGCGGAGCCCAGGCCCCGCCCACCTACCTCCACCCTGTAGATGTTGGAGGCGTGGACCCGCTGACCACAGTGGGCCACCACGGTCTTGCAGCAGCTGTCGGGGACCAGGCGGCCACCGGCCTCCCCAGAGCGGATCCACTCGCTGTCCTGCCAGTCCTGGGAGTTGTTGCTGCCACAGCAGTGGAACTGCAGGGAGAAGGCGGCAGGGCTGAGTGCCCGCCCCACCCACCCCGCGGGCTCCCTCGAGGTTCCAGAGAGGCCCCCCGACCCACCCACCAACCTCCTGCTGCAGCTTGTCCACGGCACTGGTCACGCCCTCGTGGCCTGGCTGGTGGTACCGCTTGGTCATGGTGTCCTTCAGGTTCTCCTTGAGCTCCGCGTTCAGCTAGGGGCAAGGTGGTGACAATTTCAGCCACTGACTAAGACCCTCCGATGGGGGCAGATGCGGAAAGGTGTGTGGAGGACGGGGGGGGCGGGGGGGGGCCAGGCTCAGGTGCTGGCTGAGGAGGGGGTCAGGTGGGCTGGGAGAATCCCCCAGGGGACCCTGGGGAGGGGCGGGGGCAGGGCCGGAGCTCCAGATCCTAGGAGCACCTGCTTTCCCCCACGAGCCCCTGCAGTGTACCCCACCCCCTGCGACCCAGCCCTCACCTCCAGGGCCTGACGCACAAGGGTCAGCTCTGGAGCTCGGGGTCTGTGTGCGCGTGTGCGTGTGCGTGTCCCTGTGTGTGTGCATCCCCGTGTGGCCTGTCCGGGCCCCTCACCTGCTGGTAGTAGACGTAGGCCAGGATGCCGGCAACAATCTCCAGCAGGAAGATGATGAGGAGCAGGATGAAGTACTGGGCAGGGAAGGGCGCAGTGAGCAGGGGCACAGACACCCCCATCCACGAGGCGCCGCCCTCAGCTCCCAGTGGTCACAGAGTGAGGGCTCCCCTCAGAGCAGGTGTCGTCCGCCACCAGGGGCTCACAGGAGGGCTGGGCAGGTGGGAGGGACACCCCCGGCGAACACAGCAGAGGCGATCCTGCAGTGTCACACTCGACCCCCCTCAGTGCCTTCTTCCCCAGACAGCCAGGGGGGAGGCCCCCACCCGGGGACCCCGCCCCCAGTGCCAGAGGCGCCCTGCTGACCGGGCGCAGCAGATTCCGCCGCTCCTTGAAGGTGGCACAGCAGCCCAGGAGACCGGTCACCATGACAACAACACCAGCCACCACCAGGATGTAGGCTGTGGCCAGGTAGGTGTTCGAGGCCAGCAGGCTGATGTAGTCACTCTTCAGGGCCAGCGTCCAGATGCCCACGGCCATGACGGCCAGACCAGCCAGCTGTGGGCACACCGGTCGGTCCCCACGTGAGCCCACGACCAGGACTCCTTTCGAGGGCCAGCCCAAACCAGCCCCTCCAACTAAGCACGGGCAGAGGGAGGCCCCGAGGTGCCATAACCTCCCCGAAGGTTCGGGGAGGCAGTGCCGGGCCTCACCCAGAAGCAGCAGTTGAAGGTGAACAGCAGGTACTTGAGGCAGACGGTGCCGCACGTGGCCTTCTTCTCGCTGAACTCGCCCATCCTGGCGCTGGGAGGCAGGGGGGGTCAGAGAGCCCTCACCACCAGGCCTGACTGGGAGGACAGCCAGACACCAGAGGGGACAAAGGGAGGGATGCCGATGCCCAAGCAACCACTGACCCTGGGAACCAGGACACTTCGCAGGAGGGCGGGTCAGGGGACCCCATTACAACCAGGGCAGATGCCTGCTGCCCCAGCCCTAGAGGGCGGGAGGGCCTGGCTTCCCTGACCAGACCCCCGGGCACAGAGGACCCCCAACCACCAGTGGCTGACTCACCCCCACTGGCAGCCAGGGTAGGAAGCCCCGGGCGGGCGGGCACCTTGTGGTGAGCTCATGCAGGCCCCGCCCCCCCCACCCCAGCATTCCCCAGGCCCCATGTCACAGGCTGGCTGGGACCTACCTACAGCTGCCAGAGGGGAGGCCACTCAGAGACAGACTGGCCTACCCTTACTAGCCATGTGGCCTCGGGAAAGCCTCTCAGGCTTCTGTTAAAGGCCAGACCTCCCTTCCTTCCTCCAGAAAGAGTGGGCACTGTGGCCCTGGCCGGTTGCTCAGTGGTTAGACCGTCCGCCCAGGTACCAAAGGGTCTCGGGTTTGATGCCCAGTCAAGGGCACGTACCTCTGTCGTGGGTTCCCCAGCTCAGTAGGGGCATGTGCCGGAGGCAACCAATCGATGTGTTGGTCTCACATCGATGCTTCTCTCTCTCTCCCCCTCCTCCCTCCCTTCCAGTCTCTCTAGAAATCATTGGGAAAAATGTCTTCGGGTGAGGATTTTAAAAAAGAAAAAAAGAGTGGGCACTGTGGAGGGTCCAGGCAGGCAGAGCAGGCAGACCCCCCACCCCAGACCTCAGGTTTCCTCATTACTGGAAAGGGGACAGACAGGCACACTAACCCCAGTGAGAAGAGCAGCCACAGGCTGCCCTCAGAGGCACCCCGGCCAGGAACAGCAGCCTGCTCTGCAGGGCGGTGACTACACTGGGGGCGCAGGGAGGCTGTGGGACAGACGGCGGTGCCTGGGGCCACTTTTCCAGACACAGTAACTCCCACAGCCAGACTCACCGCCCCACCCAGCACTCACCTGGCTGGCAGGAATGGCTCCGGTAAGACAGGTGGACAGTTCCCCAGGAGGTCCCACTAGAAGGGCAGCGACAGATCAGAGGGCTGACCCAGGTCCGGGCGGCTGGCTGCCCCAGGCGCCGGCTTCCAGAGGAGGCACAAGTCACTCCCGGCAGCAGCCAGGGGAGCGGCCAGTATTTTGGTCTGAGCCAGGGAGGGGCAGGGCAGAGGACATTTCTGGACAGTGCGATCCTGCTAGGAGCCTCACGCCTCCTCCCAGCACCCCACCCCGGGCCTTGGCGCCAACCTGCCCCTGCCCCCTCCCCCACCAGCGCAGTGCCGCAGCCTGGGAAGCACAGCCGGCGTGGACAGAGTGGGCGCCCCACGCTTGGAGACGTGCCCCCAGGGCTGCTCGGAGGTCCCAGGCCTTGGGGGACGCTGACTGCGGACACAGATCCAGCCCCCGCGGCCGCACACGGCCACCCGTGGGGAGGGGCCCCTCTTTCCGGGAGAGTCTAGCGGATGTGAACCCCCAGGGAAAGGGCGGCCAGAAATAGTTCCTGCGGCCGGGAACAGAGCCGCCCCACCCCAGTCCCTGCAACTCAGCGGGGCCCTCGGAGGCCCGCGCAACCAGGAGGGGGACCCGGGAGGAATCCTGGCCCTGGGAGGAATCCCGCGTCACCGCGATGAGGTCACCGCCGCCGCCGCCCGCCCACCCACTTGCACCGGGTGGTGGGCGGGCCTGCGGGCGGAGGAAAGGGGACCGGCGACCGGGAACAATGAGTGGGATGCTCAGGTGGGGCCCTTGGCCCAAAGGGACCGCCAGGCGGGTCTGAAGACCCGGGAGGCGTCCTGCCCTCGCCCTGCGCCCCCCCCCCGCCCGCCCGCACAGCCTCCTGGTGCCCGGCTCCCTCCGGAAAGGGCCTCCCGAGGCGGCGGCCGGGCCTCCGAGCCCGCGCCACGCAGGACTTGGGACTCTCGGCCCCTCCCGGCCGGCCCGGCCAGGTGGCGCACTCACCGGACGTGTCCGAGCCGAGTCGGGCGGGGATAGAGGCTAAGAGCGCTGAGAATGCACGGCCCGCCGGCGGCCTGCGAGGGCGGTGCACCGGTCGCCTACGGCCCCGCCCCGGCCCACAGGTCCCACCCATTCCGACAAGCCCCGCCCACGGCCAACAAACCCCGCCCCGGCCCTCAGGCCCCGCCCACTGCCAACAAACGCGACCCACACACCCCGCCCATTGCCAGCAAGCTCCGCCCCTGTCCACAGGCCCCGCCCATGGCCAACAACCCGGCCTACGGCCCACAGGTCTGAACGCGCGCTCTGCGCGGGCGGGCGGGATACCAGCCGGTGCCGGCGCCTAGAGAGGGTCTCTAACGGGGCTGTGGAGGCCGGGCGAGCTGCAGCCTGGAGGCCTCCACAGCCTGACCAGGGCCCAGGCCCTCAGGAGACGGAGACACTGAGCTAGGGGCGGGGGAGGTGGGGGAGGCAGCCAGCCCAGCCAAGGCCTGGACTCTGTCCAAGACCCTGCTGTCCTCCAGGCCCAATTCTTCTTTCCCTCCTCCCAATCCAGGTTCCATCCAGAGGCTACAGGGGTCAGCAGGACAGATGCTGGCCTGGCGTTCGGAGGCCTAGGGTCCCTGTGAGAGATACTCCAGTCTGGAGGGCTCTGGCCTGGCAGTGGTGGGAGGGCTTGGAAAATCCTGCGGACCCACTAGACTGGGAGGCTGAGTGGGGGCAGGGGGAGTGTAAGGAGGGAAGCTCTCCAGTTGGGGCAGCTCTCCCCCACCTGCCCTGGGCTCAGCGGGCAGCTCCCAGCTCCTCTGGCAGGACCTTGGGCATGGGAGGTGGCTCCAGGCCTACCCCAGGAGGCTCCATGCAGGACTGGCCCGACCCTGGGGGTTTACCCGGAGCTGCGTGAGGGTGGCATGGCCAAGAGATGGTCAGCTGGATCTGGATTGGGAGGAAACCCCACCCAGGGCTCCCTGTGAGCCTGTGGGCCTTGGTCACCTTGTTCCTACAGAGAGGCCCATGGGACTTCAAGCTTTTATGGGCTGAGAGGGCTCGGGGTCTGACAAGAGATGCAGGGACGCCTACAGACACAAACAAGGACCCACAGCCCCGACTCGGAGAGTGGTGGCCTGTGCCGCACTTGGGCCCGGACGCACGATGCCTGTGGCCCCCCACACAGAGGAGGTCCAGGAGGCCGCAGTGTGGTTGGTCGAGTTTATTTGGAGTGCTGGACAGAGATGGGTTTGATGGGGGGTGGGGACAGGATGAGGACCGGAGGGGGGCACAGGGGAGCCTGACACCCCCCTCCCCGTTAGTTCCTTCATGTCCGCAGGCAGGCAGGCCAGGCAGCCCACTGGGTAGAGCCCAGGTGCTGGACCAGCAGCCCCAGCCACGATGAGTCACTTTCAAAGGGCAGTTTCTTCAGGGAACGCCCCGTGAGTCACTAGGGCTGGCTGGTCACCGGGCACTGGGAAGGTGGCCTGAGCCACATCTGGGGGGTCGAGCCCAGTTGCTGCAGCAGCAGCAGCAACAGCAGCAGGCGGGCCCCGGCAGGCAGGCCGAGGACAGAGCCTTCCTGGGGCCACTGCCCAGCTGCTTGGTCTCACAGGCGTCCCTCTCGTCTCGTAGCCGCGTGTTCAGCTCCCTGGGGAAGGGAGTCCAGGGACTCTGAGAGGTCTCAGGAGGCAGAATTTTAGGGCGGGGGGTGTGGGCCCGGGCTCTCCCTCAGACCAGGCAGGGGCTGCAGCGTGAGGGAGAGAGGGCAGGTACAAGGAAGGCCTTCCCAGCTGGAAGCCGGGCAGTGGTCAGGGATGTTTGGGCTGAGCCCCTGCCCTCCATGGCTGAGCCAGACCGAACCTGAGGAGCGCCAGCTGCCGCGCGAGGCTGAGCTTCTCCTTCTGCATGTTCCGCGAGACAGCCACCACGTCCCTGTGGGCGGGAGGCGGTGGCCTGGGTGGAGGGAGACGCCTGCGGCGCCCCACGCCCCCCCTAGGGGACCCGGACCCACGCAGACCCTGGCGGCGAGGCTGAGACTTGGGATGCGGATGGAAGCGGCCCAGATCTGAGCCCCCAGCGCGACCCCCGCTTCCACGCGCCCGTGGGCCCCACCCCCTGCTCGAGACTCGCCCCTGAAGGCCGTCCCCGCCCCTGGCACCGGAGGGTCTGCTCCCGGCGGCCCAGCACTTCGCCCTCCAGCCTGCGGAGCTGCTCCTGCGCCGCCTCCAGCTGCGCCCGCAGCGCCTCGTTGGCCAGCCACAGCTGCGCGTTCTGCGCCTGCGCCTCCAGCCGCTCCGCCGCCCGGGTCTGCAGCTGCTGTTCCAACTGGGGGGTGTGGGGGAGGTCGAGACTAGAGGGGAGCCCCCTCTGCCCCGGGAGGCTGCTGTGCCCCTGACTCCCAGCGACTCCGAGGCTGGGGACGCTGAGGCACCGGGGGCCTCAAGGACACCGGGAGGGAAGGTGGCGGTGGGATGGGGGCGTGGGCCGGTGGCCGCTCACCTCCCGCTGCCGCAGGCCCGCGCGCTCCAGCTCCTGCTCGCGGCTCTGCAGCTCCAGCTCCAGGCGGCCTCTGCGCTCCTCCCGGGGGTGGTCCTGGGACGCGCCGGGGGCACCTGAGCCTCCGCGATCCGCGAAGGGGCAGGGGCCGGGGGTGGGACGGGGCCGGGAAGGCGGGGCCGGGGGACGCGCGCCTGGGATTGGGCTGCGCGGGAGCGGGCGGGGCCGCGGGCCCACCTGGCTCCTCAGGCGCTGGCGCTGCTCTCGGAGCTGCTGCTCGGTCTCCTCGTACAGACACCGCACCTCCCTCTCGTGCTCGCTCTCCCGCCTTGGGGTGGGGTGGGATGGGGTGGGGGACGGGGTGAGAGCTGCATGGAGCCTGCCTGTACTGCAGCCCCCAGCCCGCCCCGGCCCCAGCCCTCACCGCCGCAGCGCCTGCTCCAGGCCGGCTCGCTCTCGGGCCGCCTCCTCCAGGCAGGCCGACGCACGCATCAGAACATCCTCCAAGTATCCCAGCAGCTCGGGTCGCTCGCGCTGCAGCCGGGTCCAGAGCAGCCGCACCGCCCGCTGCCTGGAAGGGCGGGCAGGGGCTGAAGCCGAGGTAGGGGCTCCGCGCCCGCCCCGAGATGACCTCTGCAGCCCCGGGCCAGCCAGGCGCACTGGCCGGGTCAGGGCCTCCCTCTCACGGGTGCCTTCGCCCCTGCCAGGGGTCTGCGTGTGCGCGGCTGGCTTGGCAGCGAGGGGTCATGTGCAGGCGGGGCTGTGCCCAAGTGTCGGAGGCCGAGGCCCTGTGACCCGCGCCACCCCTCCCAGTAGCCCTGACTGCTGCCTCCTAAAATGCAAATTCTGCGGGAAATCACACCCGCCCGCCCAGGTGGTGGCAGCTGAGAGGGAACCGCAGGGCCAGACCCCGCCTGGGACCATGCCCAGAGCAGGCATGCGGGGACGTGAGCAGGCATCATGCAGACCAGGGAGCTGGGCCAGGACCAGCGCAGACTCACTCGATCAGGACCTGGGCCACCCCCAGCTGCTCCAGCGCCGAGAGAAACCTCTCCTCCTCTTCCTCCTCCTCCTCCAGGGAGCCCCCCGTACCTGGCCCCTCGGACCAGCCCGACTCAAAGGTTTCCTCAGAAGCCCCCGAGGGCTGTGTGCCCTGGACCGACTCTGCCCCCACAAACTTCCCTGTGGGCATGGGAAAGAGATTACCGGACTGTGGGTTACCACCCTGGCCCAGCCACCACTGCCCCCCCCCCCCTGCCCTACACACACACACACATATCCTGCCCTTTCCATGAGCCCAGTTTCCTGTTTTTCTTCCTTATTCTGGGCTGATTCTTAGCCTGGGAATGGGAGGTGGCGGCCAAACTCAGGCCAGAATGGACAGCTGGCTCCCAGCCCACCTGGATTTGGCACAGCAGTGAGGTGGAGCGCAGGAGGGACAGCGGCACCCAGGCCTCAGCGGCGAGGGGGGGGGGGGGCGGGGAGGCTTTCTGTGGGGCCTTCCAGCACTGCCTGTGTGTGCAGACACTGGACAGGCACAAGCTGCGTGTGGGACGTGGGCCCCCAGGGCCCCCACATGCACCAGGTGGGGGTCAGGGTGGGGTCAGGAAAGGGCTCACCCAGGCCGAGGCAGAACTCCCGGGCAGTGAGGAAGCCCGTGCGGGCCTGGTCCAGGCTTTCGAACACGGCCTCGAGCTGCTCGGGCGTGAGGAGCAGGTCCTTCTGCAGGCCCTGGCGGACAGACACAGGCTGAGCGGCCAAGGCCAGCCCCGCGGGGCCGCCCCTTGGGACTGGGGACTCACCTGCAGGTCGTGCCGGGTGATGAAGCCCTTGGCCTCCTTGTCACACAGCAGGAACAGCTCCTGGGCCTGCGCCAGCATGGCTGCCCAGGGCCCCACCGAGCCTCCCTCCTGCTCCCCCTCCTCCTCCTGGGCCTCCCCAGGGCTGGCCATGAAAGTGGGGTCTTGGCTGTCGGGTGCTGTAAAGCCAAGGAGTTGGGGGCTGAGCAGAGCTCATAAGAAATGGGGGGGGGGGGGGCGGGGGGGAGGCAGAGAGAGGGTAAAGGCCCAGGGTGGCTGAGGGCTAAGCTGGGGCCGTTGGGACACAGGGTTGGGCAGAGGAAGGTGGGAAAAGGCCTGGCCCAGGTCCAGGAAGGAGGGGCAGCGGGGAGGGTCTAGCCTGCTTGAGGGAGATGCCGCGGGCTCGGCTTGGGGTGTGACAGGTGGGGTGCTGCAGGCTCTGGGCCTGTGAGGACTGTGCGGGCCCAGGAGGGAGCCGAGGAGAGGACTGGCTGGGAGAAGGGCAAGCTCGGTGGGAGGCGGGGAGTCCATGGAAGACCTTGTGATGGCAGCTGAGGGCACCGGGCTTGGGTGAGGGAGTGGCCATCGGGGAGGAGCTGAACGGGTCCTGGCGTTGGGGACACGGAGACGGGGCGAGGGGCTGACCAGTAGGAGCACTGGGCCAATCCTGCCCGCTGCTCAGCCTGCCCTGGGCCTCAAGCCCTCCCGGCACCAGCTGGCAGGTGGATCGCCCTCCGGTCCCTCCCTCCCCGCTCCGCTCCGCCCCGCCCGCGCGCCAGGCTCCCGGGTGCAGGTGAGGGTCCCGGCCTGGACAGGGCGCCCTGGTCAGAAATACCCCGGAGTCCAGGCTTAGCAGACTCCTCAGCACGAGGCTTTGCCCCCTCCAGACGCGCCCCCTCCGGGCTCAGAACCTCTCGGGCTCCCCCGCAGGGCGCCTCGCCCTGGATCCCCTAACCGGAGCCACCTGTCTTCCCCCGACGCCCCGTCCGGGTTTCCGGCGCCAAGCCCAGGTCTGACGTCCTTCCCCAGCTCAGAGCTGGTGCCCCCGGTTCCTGGGGGCTGAGCGGGACGCGCTATCCTCCTGGGCCTCCCCAGGGCTGGCCATGAAAGTGGGGTCTTGGCTGTCGGGTGCTGTAAAGCCAAGGAGTCGGGGGCTGAGCAGAGCACCCGGGCCGAGCGCCTCCCACCCTGCGCCGGCCGCACTTGGCCGCGCGCCCCCGCGGCACCGGCGCCCGCGGCTCCCCGGCCACAGGGCCATCCCGGCGGAAGCTGCGTTTCGGCCGGACGCGGGGAGCGGGAAGGAAGGGCCGCCGGGCCCCGCCCCGTGGGGGCCCCGGAGCCCCTGACCGCCCCGCGCGGCGTCCGCGCGCCCTGCAGGCCCCGGAGGGACCCGCGAGGCGCCTACCTGCGCGCTGCGCCGCCGCCGCACCTGCCACCACCTGGCCGCTCCTCCCGGAAGGCGGGCGCGGCGGGGGACGCGGGGCGGATCGGCTCCGAGACCCCGCGTGGGCCGGCCCCGGGCGGGCGGGGCGCCCCGCTGCTGTCGCCTGTCCCCGCCTCTCGCCTCGCTCCCCACCCTCCCGCGACCTGGCCCCGTCCAGGCAGAGACCCCGCGGACGGTGGGGCGAAGTGACCCAGGCTCCTGGGGACCCTCCCCGTGCGGGGCCAGGTTTGGGGGGCATGTCCTGAGGGTCCCGACTTAAGGCGCTAAAAAGTGCATGGGAGACCGCGCAGGAAACACCCGACACCCCCAGTGGTGTGGCGGCTTTCCTCTCTTCCCTATACTTTCCCACTTGGCTTCTCCCCGTTTTTAAACAACACACACGTGACATGCTAGAAAATGACATTTAAATCAACAGCACAAACGCCCGGGAGGTGTGAGGGTGAGCGATGGGGTGGCCCGCCTGGGGCTGAGAGGAGCTGGCGGGAGCCTGGTGTGACCTCCCTGCTGGGGGAGAGAGTCGCCCCTCTTCCCCAGACCCCTCCCCAGCCCCAGCTGGCCCCGCACCCACCTGGAGGGCCTGGCCTGGGGGCTGGGGGCCTCTGCTTCTCCAGGGCCCCGGGATCCTGCTGAACTAGAACAGGTTGGGCCCATAGGACGGGACCTTGAGAGAGAGGGGGGCGGCCCCTGGCACACGGGAGCGCCCGGGACCTGCCCAGCCGGCTCGCCCAGTCCTGCAGCCCCACCACCGACCGTTATTGTTGGCTGGGGGCTGCCATCGCCACCCCAGCCGCAGCCGCCCACACAGCCCATCCATGTCTGACGGGTAAGCAGGTGGGGCTGAACCGCAGGACTAAGGGCTCTGGAACGTTAGCCAAACACCAGGCTGTCCCCGCCCCTCGCCCCCTGGGCTCCTGGTCACCAGGGAGGGCTGGCGGAGTTCCCCCACTGCCCGCGGACTTTCAGGAAACCATGTCTCTCCCAGAACGAGGTCCGGCCCCTCCAGCTCAGACCTCACCCTATCCCAGGCCCCTCCTGTGTATTGGCAGGAGCCTGGGCCCCTGAGGATGAGGAGGGGTTCAGGGGAGCAGGAACATGTGTGCACCTGGCCAGCAAGGCTTCCGACAAGGCAGGCCCAGCCCCGCACACAAAGCCCTGCGTGGAGCGGGCCTGCTCCTGGGGAACCTCACCCTCCGGCCCCCGCCCCATGTCACCGCGGAGTGGAGGTGCAGACACCACCTTTTGTAAACACGTCTTTGTTTTTTATTCAGCGAGGATCTTGGTCTCAAATATTTCCACTGGCCCTTGGGAAGCTGCACCCGCGGGTCAGCCAGCAGGCCTCAGGGCAAAGGGGGGCAAATGGATGTGAGGAGTGGGCTGCAGCCCAGGGGCCCCAGGCCGGAATGCTGGCCTCAGCAGAAGGGACTCTTGGAAGCCGGGATGGAAGCTGGACCGACACTGGTCAGCTAGAGCGGGTCACATACAAGGAGGACGCAGGGGCTGAGCTGTGGCCTTTATTACATCTGCTTCAGCGAAAATAAATAATTCTTCACACATTCTTCAGCATTCTTCAGTGAAAAACGCGGAGGGAGGAGCAGGTGCAAAGTTCTAGGGAGTAATACTGCCCGGACCACCGGGCCCCCTGCCCTGCCCTAGGGCGGGCCTGGGAGTGGATGTTAAGGCACAGGTGAGGGGCCCTCTGTGGCGAGGGGAGGGGCGCTGCACACCCCGCCTCCTCAGTGCAGCAAGTGAGTGGTTTGTGGAGGAGTTGACAGCCAAGTCCCTTCTCCCAGCAGTGAGGCCCCATCTCCCCTCTCCCCCAGGCATGGAGGGAGGCGGGAGGGGGTCTCAGGTGACCCCAGGGCCCCGCCTCATGGGGCAGGGAAGCTGGAGGGCCTGGCCCTCAGCACTGGGACCCCGGGGGGCTGGGAAGGCGGGAGCCAGGCTCTCAGCAAGGGGGCGGGTGCTGCGGGGGCGCGGGGCTGGTGGGGGCGGGGGTGCGCATGCGCAGGGCATCGGGCGGGAAGGCCACGTTGGTGCAGAAGAGGCCGAGCAGCATCTGGCGCTGGCACTCCTCCCACTTGGCCAGCGTGTCCACCAGGGAGAGGTTGCTGCGCATCCAGCCGGGCAGCGCCTCGCAGTAGGCGGCGTAGGACAGCGGGACAGAGGGCAGCGACTGGGCGCGGCGCAGCTCCGCCTGCTCCTCCAGCCTGTGGGGGGGCGGGGGCGGGGGGGGGGGTGTGTTAGTGGGGGGACATTACAGTGAGGCTGTGGCCCCCGTGAGCACAGCAGCCACGGCATACCTGGAGGGCAGGCGGCTGCCCAGCTTCCTCTTGGCACGCATCACCAGGTACTGGCAGATGCTGCCTGTCTGCTCCCTCATCCACCGGATGTCCTCGGGCACGTCGGGCAGCCACTCCAGCAAGCTGGGCGGGTGAGAGGCACGGCCTCAGGGTCAGGGCCTGTCCCTTGCCCACGCCCCACCCTTGGCCCTGACATCTCTATCCTCCCCCTACCAACTGCCTCTCCCCTGGGGTGGCCACCCCCAGGAATGGTCCCCAAGTTTGGTCCAGGCTCCTCTCCTGCCCGCCCCCCCTCCTGTACCGGATGGTGAAGGACACAGCGCTCTCCAGGGGCAGAGTGTAGGGCATCATCATAGCTGTGGCCAGGCGCACGGGCAGCATGTTGGAGAGTGTGGTCAGCAGGTCTTTGGGCTCCATGCAGGCCTCCAGCAGGGCTTGGGGGGAGCAAGAGGGAGGCTGACCACCAGTGGGGGAGGTGGGGACAGCCCTGCTCTGCTCCACCACCCTCCCCATGGCCCTCCACCCGCACTGAGCCGTGCCCCCCACGCACCCTCACTGAGCCGTGCCCCCCACGCACCCGCACTGAGCCGTGCCCCCCACGCACCCTCATTGAGCCGTGCCCCCCACGCACCCGCACTGAGCCGTGCCCCCCACGCACCCGCACTGAGCCGTGCCCCCCACGCACCCTCATTGAGCCGTGCCCCCCACGCGCCCTCACTGAGCCGTGCCCCCCACGCGCCCTCACTGAGCCGTGCCCCCCACGCGCCCTCACTGAGCCGTGCCCCCCACGCACCCTCACTGAGCCGTGCCCCCCACGCACCCTCATTGAGCCGTGCAGGCAGATGTTCCAGGATGTGATCCTCCACGAGAGCCCTCTCCACTACCATCACAGCTTTCTCCTGGTCCTCATCCTGGCGGACAGGGGGCTTGGCAGGGGGCAGTGCCAGCAGGGGATTGGGCCTATCCAGGAGGCCTGGGTGGGGAGGACCAAACATGTGGTCAGCTCAGCGGAGGGGGCCATGGTGCAGAGCCCCCCGCCCCCAGGGCCTGGCCCACACACCATTCCTCCGCAGGAAGCGCAGGCCGTCCCGGTAGCCCTGCTTGCACATCTCCCGCAGCACCTGAGGGCAGGGAAGTGGGAGCAGGAAGTCAGACACACCCAGTCTGTCCCTGGGGTCCCTGCAAACCCACCCCTCCCCACCACAAGCTAAGGGATCCAGGACCCGGGACAGATCCAGGCTGGAGAGGCCACCCTTTGGAGAGGCCGTGCAGGCCACAGGCTTCTTTCCCAGCCCTCAGAAGAGGCTGTCCCGCCCCCCGCCCTGTCACTCAGGAGCGGTCAGAGGGGCAGCGTTCTCCCCAGGACCAGGACTGGGTGAGGAGACGAAACCAGCGCTCACCATGGGCTCCGGCGGGAACAGGGCCTTGGAGAGGCGGTACAGGTTGCGCAGGTTGAACTGGATGCTGGTGTTGGTCACCCGAAGCTCATGGATGTTGGTGGAGCTGTCCTGCGGGCAGATGTCACTCTCGCCCGAGAAGGGGGACACGGTGATGGTGTTCTTGAGCTCATAGAGCGGCAGGTTGTCTGAGATGCCACCGTCCACGTAGCGCTGAGGTGGCAGGGACACACGGTCACACGGTGAGGGGCTGGCAGAGTGGCTGGCTGCCGCAGGGGCCCCTCCCAGTGGCTGTTTCATTGGAGCCTTTCACACACTAGGCACCGGCCACGGCCGCCCTGGGCGCTGAGAAATAGCCAGACATTGGGGCGGGGGGGGGGAGCACGCAATTACAGGAAGTGTAAGTGGCCACGGGCTGGCCTGGCTCTTGAGTAACTCTGGGGAAGTGAGGCAACAGGCAGTGGCAGGAGTGAGGGGCTGGGGGACAGCTTCCTCCTCACCCTCGTCCCTCAGCGCCCGGCGGGTCTCGTCACCCAGAAAAGGCACCCACATGCACTTACTACGCCCTGGAGGATGGGCGGGATGAGGCCGCAGTACACGGGGATGAAGGTGCTGCAGACGTTGGCCTGCGGGAGGGACAGAGCGGGCGGTGAGCGGGGCTCCGGGGCGGCGGTGCCCGGTGACCCCTGCAGGGCCCACCTGGATGAGCTCCTCCTTGGAGCTGAAGTGGTAGATGATGACGTTCTCGCCGTCCGAGACGCGGGTCAGGGAGATGCCCAGGCGCCCGCTGGCGCGCTCATGGCTGTCGGCAGGCAGCGTCTTCATCAGGCAGCTGCGGATGGTCTTCACCAGGTTGAAGGAGGGGTGCAGCGGGCCCAGGAACCGCTTCCGGGCCTCCTTAGACACCTCGATGATGTTGGCACCGGCCTCGCCTGGAGCACAGGGCCAAGGGTCAGGGGCCAGCACTCCCGGACTTAGCACCTCCTATGGCTCCATGCCAGTGTCTCTGGGCACACCGACTAGTGGCATCCCCTCCACCCCGGAGGAATCCCAGTGTTCAGCAGGGGGCCCGGCCCACAGTTGGGACTTTTGCCACCTGCCCCTGAAGAGAGAGGCAGGCCACCCCCCCGGGAAGACAGACAGTGGGGCTGCCAACTGGGGCTGGACCTGCCCTCTGCCCTCTGCCCGGTTGTTTCCCAACAGCCTGCCCTGGACCATGAGTCACCCGGCCTGGCCGCATGTGGCACTCAGCCTAGGGAGCAGGCGGCAGAGGCTCAACTCTGACCAGCCTCAGCCTTTACCCACTTGGCCAGATCCAGACCCCCAAAACCCAGGGGCCCAGGGGTCCCACAGGGTGGAAAGAGTGGGGTCCCACCACCACAGGAAAGCACAATTGTGTCCCACTGCAGCCAGGCACAAGCAGCCCCCTAACACTCCTCTTGGGGGCCGTGGGGGCCAGCCTAGGATAAAGCTAGAGTGGGAAGGGCCCAGGAGTGGTGAGGAGCAGAGGGACCTGTGAGGAGCTGAGGACCAGGCCCTCCTCCAGGCCACACCCAGGGCAGAGTGAGCGGTGTGGGCGGCACCTGCCACCCCGGGGGCTCCAGCTGCCGGAGACCACTGTTCACTTGTGGTCTCGCGTCCCTGCGCGGAGGAGGGAGCGGGGCGCTGGGTGCTGACAGCCCGCCCAGCCCCCCGACGGCCCCGCTCACCCAGGCAGGGCCGCCCTGGCCGGGTGGCTCAATTGGTTGGAGTGTCAGCCTGCACACCAAAAGGTTGCCGGTTCAATTCCTGGTCAGGGCACGTACCTAGGTTTCGGGCTCATTCCCTGGTTGAGACACGTACAGGAGGCAACTGATTGATGTTTCTGTCACATCAATGTTTCTCTCTTTCTGTCTCTCCCTTTCTCTCTAAAATGAATAAAAACATATCCTTGAGTAAGGGTTTAAAAAAAAGATAAGATTATGGTTGATAATCTCTCACTATAAAAAAAGAAAAAGATGCCCTAGCCAGTTTGGCTCAGCGAATAGAGCTTCAAACTGCAGACCGAAGGGTCCCAGGTTCAATTCCGGTCAGAGGCACAGACCTTGGTTGCAGGCTCCTCCCTGGCCGGGCCCTGGTCGGGGCACATGCGGAAGGCAACCAATCGATGTGTCTCTCTCACATCGATGTTTCTGTCTGTCTTTCCTTCTCTCTTCCACTCTCTCTAAAAATCAATGGAAAAATACCCTCCATTTTTTGAGTGAGGATTAACAAAAAAAAAAAAAAGAAAGAAAGAAAAAGAAAAAAAGGAAGAAAAAAGAAGAGGTGTTTTGAGAGTGGTGTGTGGGGTGGGGGAGGAGTCATGTCCTCAATTGGGTACCAGGGACCTGGGTCTCTCGCTCTCTCTCTCTTTTTTCAGGGAAGAAGAGAGAAGGAGAGAGAGAGAGAAACATCAACGATGAGAGAGAATCATGGATGGGCTGCCTCCCGCATGCCCCACACTGGGGATTGAGGCTGCAACCCAGGCCTGTGCCCTTGACCGGAATCGAACCCGGGACCCTTCAGTCCACAGGCTGACGCTCTTCCCACTGAGCCACACCGGCCAGGGCCTGGGTGTCTCCCGAGGAGGCCAGCGTGGGGACTGAGGACTCTGGTCTGAAGGCCTCCTGAGAGGGAGGGGTCCAGGCCCCAGCGGTGGGTCCCCTTCCCAGGAGCGTGGAGGCATGCTCCCAGCCCACCCCTCAGGGCAAAGGTCATGGGGAGGAGGCAGGGGAGAGCCCCGCACAGGCCCCTGCCGGGCGGGGCACTGATGACCCCTGGGTCACCTTGCTGCCCAGAGTGGCGGGGGCTGGGCAGCACTCCCAGGACTCCTGGACTGTAAACACTCAGGCACCGGGAAGTGTGTGTGAGTGGAGGCGTCCTTCCCGGCACACTCACACCTCTGCCCTCCCTGCGCGGGGCGGGCGGAGAGCCCAGGACCGCCAGCCACCCCAGGGAAGGGCCCAAGCGGAGGGTCACAGCCGGGCCCCGGGCCCCCGTGGGCGGCATGCAAGGTGGAAGAGGCGCCGGGCCCAGGCCGGGCCTACTGGCTCCTGCTCCAGGGGCCTCAGCCGAGGTGCTCTTCAGAGGCCCCCCCAAACCCCGGGGACATGGCAGCCTGGAATGCCCGAGCCCCAGGACGCGGTGACCGCTAGCACCTGGTCCGGCACCCGGCCAGGGACAAGGGGGCAGCGCAGGCCCCGCCCCCTGCTCTCACGGCCCCGCCCCCGAGTTAATTTCTCTTCCCAATAAAATAGCCTCCGTTGCACCTGCCCGCCCCCAGCTTCTGCCCCGGAGGCGGGCCTGGGCGACAGCCTGGCCCCAGCAGCGCCCAGGACCAGGCGCCCCAGGAGCAAAACAAGCCAGGCCCCGCCCCCCGCCGGCACCCCGATGGCACCGCGTCCCGGTCCCGCGTCCCTGCGCGGACGAGTGAGCGGGGCGCTGGGTGCTGACAGTCCGCCCGGCCCCCCGACGGCCCCGCTCACCCAGGCAGGCCCCGGTGACCAGCGCCGTGGCCGTGAGCGCCCCGGCCGAGGCGCCGTAGATGTGCGTGGCGTTGGCCACCAGGAAGGGCGCATGCTCGCGGAGGCAGGAGGCCACGCCGATGTGGTAGACGCCGAGGAAGCCGCAGCCCGCGAACGAGATATTCCACGTCGTCTCCCGGGGGGACGTCGCGTCCTTGGGGAACATCGCGGCGGCCCGCCGGCCCGGGGTCTCCGGAAGCCGGCCTGGCCGTCTGCTCGCCGGTAGCGCGGGGCCGGCCGCCCGTTCGCAGTCTATTTCTCTTCCAGGGTCTCCGCCGTAGAGGCGGCGACGCTGCGCAAGGAGGCGGCAGAGACGGTGTTTTTAGAGGTTGGTGGGCGGGGCCGACGTGGGGCGGGGCCGCCACACGCGGACCAATCGGGGCGCGCGGGGAACGGCCGCGCCCTCGGGGGCCCTGGAGCCCCGCCCCCTCCCGAAGGCCCCGCCCGCGGGCCTGAGCTGCCCCCTCCGCCGCGGTCGGGGCCTCTGGGCCCTGAGCTGCCCACACCTGCGGCGGCAAAGACAGCGGCCTGGCCCCGGCCTCCTGCCCCTTCCCCGTCCGCCATCGTGGGCGGCGGAGGGGACCCGGAGGCCGAGGAGGGTGGGGAGGAGTGAGGCCGCCCGGGGTCTGTGGGCCTGGAGCCTCGTGGAAGTCTGGACACTCGCGAAAGGAGGGCCCTGGTGTTTGGGCAGCACCCTCCGCCTCCCTCAGGGTCCGTCTTTGACACCTACTCCCCAAGGGGTGACCCCCAGGACCCAGACCCACCCCCAGACCCACCCATAACATCCAGGGCCGGATACTCACAAAGAGCTCACAATCGAGGCGGACCCCCTGACGTCCACACCCCAGCCCGCCCCCCGCCCCTCGGCCCCTCCGCACCTGGGCACCCACCTGGGTTCTACCTGCGTCCGACCCCAGCTCCTCAGGCTGTGCCTCTCCCTGGGTATGACTGGCCCCTGCCCCGCCCCTGCTCAGTGCCCCAGCAGGTGGAGCAGCGGGTGATGTCACGCTGCCTCCAGTTCCGCATTTTTCTCCTGGACTGTTTGTGCCACAGACCTAGCCTGGTGGGATCCCAAGCCAGCCCTGCACCTCACCCCGGGGCTGTTTACACTGGGGCGGTGGAGAGGCAGGGTGCCCAGATGGTGCCGGGGTGCAGCCCCCGCCAGCCAGGGTCAGGCCCAGAAGCCAGAGTAGGGCCTCCCCAGGACATGGCCATCTGGGGTCATGCTGTCCAATCCTTGGCCACTGCTCCCAGGCACCCATACTTGGCACCAACAGGGTGCCAGGCAGGGGGACCAGCACAGGGCAGAGCAGTGAACAGTCAACCCAGCCCCAGCCCTTCTGGGGCAGGAGGGGGACAGAAGTTGTTTACATAAACTCAACACAAGGAGGGAACGGGGACAGGGTGCTGGGCAGTTAACTCAGAAAGGGCACAGGGCTACTCTCAGGCTACCTGACTGCGTGTGCAAAGGCCCTGGACAGGAAGGGGACTGAGAGGGGAGCCGGGCCTGGGCACTGGGAGAGAGAAGCAGGGGATCTCACCGAATGAATCTTAGAAAGACTTGCCCTCTCTCCCATCCCCCAATGCCTTGGATGCAGGTACAGCACCAAGGGTGTGGCCCCATCAGGATGGCCAGGGCCTCTGGTGACTGAGTCCTTGGGGACGCTGCTGGGGCAGCAGGGGGCAAAGAGTGTGGCACAGTGGGGATAAGGCCAGCCTGGGAAGTTCAGGGGGTCACCAGGGTGGTTAAGAGGGGAGCTGGGCCCAGCCGGTGTGGCTCAGTGGTTGACTATTTACCTATGAACCAGGAGATCACGGTTCAATTCCTGGTCAGGGCACATGCCCAGGTTGCGGGCTCGATCCCCAGGATGGGGCGTGCAGGAGGCAGCCGATCGATGATTCTCTCATTGATGTTTCTATCTCTCTCTTCCTCTCCCTCTCTTTGATACCAATAAAAACATAATTTTTAAAAAGGGGAGGGGGGGCCGAAACTGGTTTGGCTCAGTGGATAGAGCGTCGGCCTGTGGACTGAAGGGTCCCGGGTTCGATTCTGGTCAGGGGCATGTACCTCAGTTGCGGGCACATTCCCAGTGGAGGGTGTGCAGGGGGCAGCTGATTGATGTTTCTCTCTCATCGATGTTTCTAACTATCTCTCTCCCTTCCTCTCTGTAAAAAATCAATGGAATATATTTTTTAAAAAAAAGGGGGGGGGAGGGGGGAAGGGGAGCTGGGCAGTGCAGGCTGAGCCTCCCCCAACCGGCTCCAAGGAGTCCTGCCTGTTTCATTGGGACTGTGGGGTCTTGGGGGATGGCACTGCCCCAGTGCAGAGACCTCTGCCCCCATTTCCACACCAGGGTTGAACTGTTTTGGGTACATATCCCTCCCTTCGGGCCTCTGGGACGTCAGCTCTGGAGCCAGGAACAGGGCGGCCCTTCCTGGAATCCTGGCTGGGGCGGGAGGAACCCTGGTGTCTGGTGTGCGGTGGCCATGCCAGCGGGTGTCCACCCCCCCTCGCACGGTGTCCTCTGGCCCACACAGGGCCCTTCTCCTCAGGGTCTGCGGGTAGCCTTGTGAGCTCCGCCCTGGACCCTGGGCCCACTTCTCTGCTGGGCCTCCCACCCAGCCTGGGACAGGGGCCCCACCCCACATGCAACTTGCCCTCACAGCACCTGCCGCTAGGACCTCTGCAGTGGTCCCTTCTCTCGGCCCCGTGTCCCGCCCACCAGGAACTTGGCTTCTACATCCTCCCGTAAGGCCCTAGGCCAGTGGTTCCAAATGGGGGGCAATTCGAGAACGAGGTATTAACAGTTTTCTGATTTCTTATGGTTCTAGGGACCTCATGTACAGTATATATATTTTGTGGCACATTTATGCATTTCAGTTCTGTTTTGAAACTTTGCTATTTTTTTGTATCACTACATGTTATTATTTTTTAACGATTTCTTAGTGATTTCTTCCCCAGGACTTCCACTGTCCTTTCATTCTTTTTTCTTTCATGGATGCCATGTTCTTTGGAAACTTGTTTAGACCAAGTTCATGGCCTTTAGACTCCCTCCACGTGAATAGTTCACTTTTTGAATAAGAATTATGTCACGGAGGGCATCAGGATTTTAGATGCTTAGGTGGGGCGTGCCCAGAAGCTGGGGCCCACTGCTCCCGGCCTTCCTCCCCTCCTCCCCCCAGCCTCAGCAGGTCTTGGCTCCCCGCCTGAGGCCTTATTCTGCTCATTACTGTCCCCATAGAACTAGCCCACAGGGGAAGGCTCTTCACACAGGAGGTGCGCACCCTAATAGCTGCTGACCCAGGGCCTCAGGAGGGGGCAGCAGTGTCTACTGAGGGACCAGGGGTAGGCCCACCCAAGACTGTGAGCACATGGCCCAGGTGAGCTATGTACCCACAAGCACTTCACATTTGCCCAGCAGAGCCCGTGGTGGACTGGATCCCCCACCCTCAGACACCCAGGGACCACACAGGCCGCTCGCATAATACACATGCGTCTGGGGGAACTGGTGGCCTCTGTCCACCTCAGAGCAATGGAGACCAACCACTGTTGCTTTTAGGAAGTTCATTTATGGATCTGAGCGCGAAGGGGGCGGGAGAGAGAAACGTGGATGCGCTGTTCTGCGTGTTTACTGGCGATTCTTGTGTGTGCCCTGCCAGGAGACCAAACCCGTGACCTCGGTGTGGCCGGATGATGCTCTAACCAACTGAGCTGCCCACCGCAGCTTTTCAAGTTCCCTGGGTGTCCCCTGCAGGCGTCACTCCGAGTCCTCGGGAGCCAGGACCACGCGAGGCGGCTGGTGTCCCCTCCCGAGCCTGTCCAGGCTTGGCAACATCCAGGACCCCCCACAGGAAGTGTCCCCGCTCCGGCGCCAGCTCTTGGGCTGTGCTCCTCCCCCCTGGGGGTCCCACCGCGGCCTGCACGAGGGGTGAGTGCAGAGGCCAGGCTCTGACAAAGGGTCACAGGCCGCTCGAGGTGTATGGAAAAAGGACTTTATTGGCAGGGGAACGAGACTAATCAAACAAGCCAAATCCCATGTCGTCATCCGACTCCTCGGATTCCTCCTTCTTCTCATCTTTCTTCTCCTCGGCTGTGGGGAAGAGACCACAGTGAGCGAGGCAAGCAGTGCAGGCCAGGCTCCCAGATCCTCCAGGGCATCCCCAGCGCCAGCTGCCTGAGCCCACTTACCTGCAGCTGGGGCAGAACCAGCAGCAGGAGCTGCAGACCCGGGGGCGGCGGAGACCGCAACAGCCCCTCCAGCGGGAACGCTGGCCAGCTTGCCAATACCTAGGAACCAGAGAAGGGAGTGAGAGCAGAACAGCGCTCAGCCTAAAGGCTACTTCAGAGGGAAGACAGCCACCAAGCGCCGGTGTAACAGGCTGCCCCGCTCTCCCAGAAAGAGGCTCCGCCACGCCCCGGCCCCAAAACTTCCCAATGGGAACTGGGCTTCCAGGAATTGGCCCACAAGAAGCTGGGCCATAGCTCCCTACCCTGGGGTCAAGTTGGACAAACATGTTTATGGCCAGGCAGGGACCTCGTCTGCTGCCCCAGTGTCGAGATACTCGTTCCCAGCAGGGAGCTCAGATGAGGCTTTTGGCTGAGCTGGCTCTTGTCCTGGCCAGTCACATGTCCAGGGACAGGAATGGCTGCCCCAGCAGCTCAATTTCCAAACAAGTCCCATCACCTCCACCCTGACGCCACCAGAAAACAATCCACCCAGCAAAAGGGAGCAGGGGCCTGTGGTCACCCCTGACACCAACCCCCCTATAGAGGGCACGTGGAGAGACTTGTTTACCAGGCCCAGGTCTCCAAACACTGGGGCAGGGCAGCCAGGCCCAGGGAGAGCACAGGCGCCCCCTGGCGTCCACTCTCTGAGTGTCTAGAAGTGCCCCTGGCATGAGCCCAGGGAAGCCGTGCTCACTCCTCGGGGCAGGATTCTAGGTTGCTCTGGTCCACAAGCGAAACCTGAAGGCCACAGGCGACCAACAGGAATTAGGATGGACCATGGAAACCAAAGCCCCCGCACCAGCTCACCCTGGGCGATGACATCTTCGATGTTCTTCCCGTTCAGCTCGCTGATCACCTGGAGTGGAAAACCATGACCCGGAGTTACCGGGCATCCGACCCGCACGCCCCCCTCTGGAGCCAAGGCTGGCCTCGGGAGCGGGCCAGGAGGAAATGCCAGGCCCCGCCAGTTACCACGCACAAGTGGGTTCTCCGAACCGAGACCCGCTGCAAGTGGGAACTTACACATCTCTCTAAGTTACTGCTCAGACACAGACGCAAAATATCTTAATTTATACCCAATATATGGCAAAATAACACCTTAATCAATTTGGGCGAAAAAGAATGGCTCTCAAATACCTTCCCCTTTACATTTCTTAGAACGTGGCAGTTACCGAAGAATTTTAAGTTACGCGAGACTTGCATTGTGCTTCTACTAAACCACGCTGGCCTTTTGTTCCCGTGGGGCCGTATCAAGGCCTCCACGCCACACTTTCCCCAAAAAGCACTCGGATCGGGGAGGAGAGGGACCCCTCTGTGCAGAGGACCCGTCGGCCGGGGCCCGGCGGGCGGCTACCTTGTTGAGCCGGTCGTCGTCCGCCTCGATGCCCACACTGTCCAGGATCTTCTTGATGTCCTTGGCGCTGGGGGAGGCATTGCCCCCGAGGGCGGCCAGCAGGTAGGAGGCAACGTAGCGCATCCTGAGCGGCGGAGAGAGCCGTGGCGTTACCGTGAGGCCTCCCGCCCCCACCCCGGCCCGAACGCGGCCGCGCGTGGCCCGGCCTGGGGGCCCCCACCGAGGCCGCCCCGCGCCCTGCCCGCCCCCTAAGGCCCCCGCCCGGCCAACGGCCCAGTCGGGTCTCTCCACTCACTCGGCGGCGGCGGAGGGGACTCGCGCGTGCGACCTCGGCGGCGTCAGGCAGGGAAAGGAAGGCGCCGGCGCGGGGGGCGGGGGTAATCCGCTACCCAGAA